TGCAGTGGTGAGTGGGGGGTGCAAGGGTGAGTGGGGGCGCAGTGGCGAGTGGGGGGGACACAGCATCCCAGGGGAGTTGGTGCCCCCCGAGACCTCCCCACAGCACCCGTGCCACCGTGGGCCTGACAGCGAGGATCCTGGGCCCCTCACCTCCCTTGCAGTGAATGCCCAGCCTGAGTTTCCTCAGAGCCAGTTAGTCAGCTGTGCCCTTGTTGGAGTTCATTTTTGTTTATTATTTGTTGTTGTTTCTATCATGTGAGGGGACTCAGCCTCTGCTCTGAGGATCTGAAACACACACACATTCACAGTGTAAAATCCAAAAGGAGATGCCTGGTCACAATGCCTCATGTTGAAAGCCTAAAGTTGGCAAAAGAATGAAAGATGTCCTTAGAACAGTCCCAGATAGGATCACTGGGGAAAACACCGGCTGCCCAGTTAACCTTAAATTTCAGATCAACGACTAATACTCCAGTTTAAGTATATTCCATGCAACATCCGGGACTTACACTAAAACAAAAAATTAGCTGTTGCTCTTGTGAATGCAAATATCTGAGACAGGTCTCAGGCAGTTCAGAAAGTTTATTTTGCCAAGGTTAAGGACACAGCATGAAACAGCCTCAGGAAGTCCTGAGACTTGTGCCCGAGGTGGCTGGGGGTACAGTTTGCTTTTATACATGTTGGGGGACGTGAGACGTCAATTGACGTGTGTAAGACGTACACTGGTTCGGTCCAGGAAGGCAGGACGACTCTAAGTGGGGGCTTCCTGGCTAGAAGTAGGTAAGAGACAAAGGTTGTATTCTTTGAGTTCTTGATCAGACTTCCACTGAATACACAATTTAGTCTGGCTCAGTGAAACTACATTTTTACATAAGAATAGGCAGAGGAAGCAATCGGATACGCAGCTGAGCCTCAGAGGGATGGCTTTGAATAGAATGAGGGGCAGGTTTGCCCTAAACAGTCACCAGCTCGACTTTCACCTTTAGCTTAGTGATTTTTGGGTCCCAAGGTTTACCTTCTTTTCACAATCTGAAATTCAAAGTTCTCTGGGCATCCTGTATTTTAGTTTGCACACTCTGGCAGCCCTAGCCCCAGAGCCCTGGAGTGTCATACTGGGGGCGTTGCTGCACCCCAAGTGTCCCCGACTGCGTGTGTATAGAGACCATCCATGCTTACATCCAGCTGACCCGTGACTGCGCTCCACCCTGTGGCTGGAGGCTAAACAACAATGTAAAGCCTCTTCTGTGTCCTCCAGATATTTCTCCCTCGAGTGGCTGGGAAAGTTGGCAAGAGACCAGAGGATCCAAATGGAGACCCTTCGAATGAGGCCAAGGTATGTGTTACTCCATCCAAGCCCCAGACACCGGACGAAGGTGGAAGACCACACCCCTTTCCAGCAGTGTGGCAAGTCCACGGGGTGGCGGAGCTGCAATGTCCACACAGCTGCCCACACAGCTGCCATGACCTCACAATTGCCACAAGGCCGTGGCAACTCCTGTGGGTTGGCTTCCTCCGGGGCACACACTGAGCTGGATTTGTGTTGATGCATTTGTTGAAAATCCAAGAAAGCCCAGTAGCAGGGCTGGGAAAGTGAGATGGGAAAGGAAGGAGGCCAGCAGGTGATGTGAAGCAAACCCACACAGGCTGACTGCGGCTCAGTCCTCCTGGGGGCTCTGGAGAACACGTAGGTTACACCCAGAGTTACTCCACTCAGGAGTGAGGTCACCGGCACTTAGCCCTTCCACACCTGTCAGTGCTGAGTGAGGGCCAGGCCCTAGGCCACATACATTCCCAGGCACTTCTGCCCTTCCCTGAACAGACACAGCAGGCCCGTGGCCTGGGGACTTCCTCCATCTGGGAGACTTAGACGCTGGCTGCCACAGGTGAAAATACCCAGGAGCCAGTGTGCACGAAAATGGCACAGGGAGCTGGGGGCTGTGGGCAGGACCGACAGACGCAATGCACAGAGGGCGGAGCCAGCCTGGGAGGGAGAAGCTCCCTGCATTTAGGTGGGGTGGTTAGGAGTAAGATGAGGGATACTGTAGCCAGCACCCCAGGAGGAGTGGGCTTCAGCTTCAAGCCCTACCTGCAGCCCAGCCCCATAGGGAGGCTTGAGGGACATCTGGCCACTCCTCGTCACAACCCTGGCAGCTCCTCACAGTGACACGCAGTGTTTTTAAAAGTCTATCTTTCTCCGTGATGTTTACAGCACCTAGCAGGTAGGCAGTGTGATTAACCCTGTTGTACTGATGAACAAACCAGCCGGCTCAGGGTAGTGGGTGAGCTTGATCAAGATCACAGACAGGAAGTGACCGCAGGGTCTTGCCCAGGCCATGCCTGACACCCACGCTCTTCCCTGGGTGCTGCCGCTTCCACTTTTGTCCCTTGAAGCTCAGCCTGACAGCTTCTGCAGCTGCCTCTAGGAGCAGCCTACAAACCCAGGCAGGCAAAATCCCAGGCTGCCAGACACCAGGAGAAATTTCTAGGGGAATTGGGCCACTTGGCTGTCTCTTTACTTCCCTGAAAAGCCAAACAGAGACCAGATTTCTTATCACACTGTAGCAAGGTAATCAACTGGAAAAAAGACAGGAGCTACAGACCCATTTTACAGAGGAGGAGACTGAGGTTTGGAGAGGATAAGAAGTGAATTAATTGTGTCACACAGCGGTAAGGGGGTAGTGCTGGGATTTGAACCCAGATATGCAGGGCAGAAACTTGTACTCTTTCTGTCATGCCATCCAAATGTGGCAGCTCCCCTAAAGCTGAGCATCTCTTACTTCAGGTATTTAGTACTTAGTTTATTGAAAATGTGCATTCTAATGTTGCTAAAAGTTCAAATCTTGCTAGATAGCAGAAAACAGTGGGCCTGGTTACTTAGCAGCTGGAAGAACCGTAAGAAATCCAAAATTAGTTCACAATTCCTAAACATCACAATTTGGTAAAGCCTGGAGATACTCTGCTTCTTCTAGGCAACGGCTATGCCCTATCTTCTAAGAAGAAAGTTCAGTAACTCCCTGAAAAGTCAAGGTAAGAGCCCCCTCCTCTCCACAGCCCCATGGGCCTGGGAAATGAGCTCCCTGGAGGAAAATGGCCAGTCGCAGCTCTGTGTGTGTCCTTCATAACCTGTGGGACGTATCTCATGTCCTGACTCCCAAAAAGCATTCCCAGTGCCACTCAGGCCACCCTTAGGACCCGGTGAGTTGTGATCCAGACAACTGGCACTTGCTGCTTTAAGCGTGCAAAGGTGGCCCTGGTGGCAGCGGTGATGGCGGTGGTGTTTCCATGTCTTTCTACATAAATTGTCCGGATGTGGTACACAGTTTCTGGCCTTCTTACAGAAAGTAGGGGACATCATTTAGCCTTCCTCGAAGGCTTGCTAGTGACAAGGACATTAGCTTTGTCCTAGACAAATGGGATGTGAGGCTCCCTCCGCAAGTGGCCAGGCTCTGTGGGTGTCTGTCTGCTCATTTCATTCACTCACCTTGTGGCCCAACCACTGCTCACCAGAAGCTGGCACCTCCTCTCCCCACTCAGAGTCCAACCCTCTGCCGTGGAGCTGTTTCAGGCCCCCAGGCAATTGTTGGATTGATCTCCTGTTGTCCCTGTTTTCTGAGCTTTGTCCTCACACACACCATCATTCAAACTGCTACAGCTGTGGTCCTAGCAGACTGTGTGTCCCTCCTCTACTCACAAACAATCCTTGGCTCCCAACTGCCTGCAGAATGAAGTGGGATTTCTTAGCATAGCCTGCAGACTTTGGCCATTTGTTACACACTGGAACCAGCCCGCCCCTGCTACACCCACCCAAGGATGCACTTCCTTCCCATGCTTGGGACAACACAACAGATGCTGGTTTCACAGCATGCCATACGAGCACGTGCCTCCATGCCCGGGTTCACCCTCCATGCCCGGGTTCACCCTCCATGCCCAGGTTTGCCCCTCCATGCCTGGATTTGCCCTCCATGCCTGGGTTTGCCCCTCCATGCCCGGGTTCACCCCTCCATGCCCAGATTCACCCTCCATGCCCAGGTTTGCCCCTCCATGCCCGGGTTCACCCCTCCATGCCCAGGTTCACCCCTCCGTGCCTGGATTCGCCCCTCCATGCCCAGGTCTGCCCTCCATGCCCAGGTTCGCCCTCCATGCCCACCTCTGCCTTGTGCAGTCCTCAAGGGCCAAGCACGAAGCCTCGCCCGGGGGCTCTCCATGCCTCCCTGCAACACCAAGCAACTCATCCCTGTTTCCAGCCCACTCACTTCTTGGTCTGTCAGCTACCCCACCTCTGTGCCAGCTCGCTCTTTGTACCCCCTGAGCCTCCAGCACACATTCAGGTCAATCCTGGGACAGAGCTGCTGCCCAAGGCCCTTTGGGACTAATCCCAGATTCAGGGTCACCAGCAAGGAGGATGACTTTGCCAGAGATGACCCGCTGAGGAGCTGCTAGCAGGGGCTCCTGGAGAGCTACATGCTAGCCGTGAGGGGTTTCCAGCACATCTCATAGGCTGAAATCCAAGTGGAGTTTCTGGTTTGATTTGGATTGGATTGGTTTGGTTTTGAGACAGGGTCTCACTCTGTCACCCAGGCTGAAGTGCGGTGGTACAATCTCGGCTCACTGTAACCTCCATCTCCCAGGTTCAAGTGATACTCCCACCTCAGCCTCTGGAGTAGCTGGGATTAGAGGTGCCAATACCATGCCCAGCTAATTTTGTATTTTTAGTAGAGACAGAGTTTCACCATGTTGGCCAGGCTGGTCTCAAACTCCTGACAGCTGATCCACCCACCTCCCAAAGTGCTGGGATTACAGGCATGAGCCACCGTGCCCAGCCAGGAGATTCATGTTTATAGCAGGAGGACAAGGGGCAATTCCTTGCATCCTCTGCATGACTGGTTTTGTGAAGGGTAGACTCTGTCCTATCCAGAAACCACTCACGTTCAGTCCAAGGCCAGAATAGCTCCCCCCGGCCCCCTGAAGCTCACAGGCATTTCGGAGTCTGAACAGCACAGCTGAGGTCTGACCCTTCGTAGTCCCCCCGTCATCATCACGAGCCTCCACCAAGGGTGGCCACAGGGCTTTTCCCTGCCTACAGAGGCCAGCCCCCAACACTGCCAGTTCTCGGGCCTCTGTGTAGCCTCCAGCTACACAGCCACAGGCCCAGGAGAGGCCCCTGTGCTGAGGGTCAGAGTCTGAGACCCCTTGGGCTGTTGCCCTGTCACAAACTTAAAGGAAAGGCAAGGAAGCCGGGCATGGTGGCTTACACCTGTAATCCCAGCACTTTGGGAGGTGGATGGATCACTTGAGATCAGGAGTTCAAGACCAGCCTGGCCAACATGGTGAAACCCCATGTCTACTGAAAAATACAAAAATTAGCCAGGCCCAGTAGTGCACACCTGTAGTTCCAGCTACTCGGGAGGCTGTGGCAGGAGAATCACTTGAACCCAGGAGAGGAAGATTGCAATGAGCCAAGATCGTGCCACTGCACTCCAGCCTGAGCAACAGAACCAAAACCCAGCCCAAAAAAAAAAAAAAAAAAAAAAAAAAAAAAAAAAAAGAAAGAAAGAAAGAAAAGAAAAAAGAAAGAAAGAAGGAAAAGAAAAGCAAGGCAAGGAAATGCAGAGACCGCACACCAGTGCAGCGTGATGGGCCTTTCTGCTGTTTCATTCATGTGAGGATTTCTAGGGCCACGGTGAGACAGAACATTAATGCCTGCTCCAAAGCAAAGGAGAAAGAAGCTGGATAAACTATTTGCATGACAGTTGAAATGTAAATGCTTCCTTAAAAATATGTAATGTGGAAACTTCTTAAAAGGGGATATGTCCATTTTTATTCTACCTTTTAAATTTCTGAGGAGGCCAAGGCACTTGTCCGGGCTAAGTATGTGATTCATAAAGCACCACCCCTCTTCCTGTTTTCCCCAAAGGCAAAGGTGATGATTCTTTTGATCGGAAATCAGTATACCGAGGCTCCCTGACACAGAGGAACCCCAACGGGAGGAAAGGGATGGCCAGCCACACCTTCGCGGTAAAGTTTTCCCTCATTCTCTGAGGAGTTCTTAAAATTCAGTCACCCGTTAGGTTTATGTATTAATGTTAAGTCTTCGGAGCAAAGAAAATGGGGATAAACCAAACAAGGATTCAGACCTGAGAATCTAAAAGTAAACTCAAATCTTTGCCAACAAGACTTGAAAACCTAAATACTTTGAAATTAGAATAATATCTTCTTGTTTTAAAGCTTTAAATTTTTGAATACTTGCCGTCCACACACCCCATTGGATGAGGACCTGTGTCATTGACCTGAATTTATAGCTGAGGAAACAGAGGCAGAGAAGTAAAAAACCCCAAAGGAGTTAACCTAATATTGTGAAGAAAGCAAACACAGTGTCTGACCACCTTGTCCATGTGTGTATACATGTGGCTGCGTTCACTCCTGTGTTTGTGTGTACTGTGTGCATGCCGGTGTGTGCACACCCATGCGTATGTGATTGCATACACACCCAAGTGTGTGTGTTACTGCAATGAAAGCACAGATTTATTGACACCAAAGTGCACTCCACAGAGTGGGAGCAGGCTAAAGCCAGTGGTTTCAGCATTTTCTGGAGTTTAAGTGCCTCTAGAGGTTTCCCATTGGCTGCTTGGTTACACCCTAAGCAAATGAAGGAGTGGCCCCGACCAGTGTGATTGGTCGCAGGAGGCAACCAATCAGAGGCTGAAAGGAAGTTACAAAATTACGCATGAAGACTTGGCCAGTGACCAGTCTGATTGGTTGCTGGAAGGGACCAATCAGAGATACTTTGCATTTTCATCTGAGATGCAGTTTGGGGGGCAGGTTGCAAAGAGAGTAGCCACGGAACCTTTTGTTCCTCAGGCGTGGAGAGATGGGGTTTTCATTTTTCCGTAATTCTACAAAGTCAGCACAAATTGATCTTAGGTTTCCTGCCTCCAGACCCTATTCTTCTGCCTCATGTGCATGTGTGCACATCAGTATAATCTAAGTTTGCATCTACCCATGTGCACATCCATGTATACACTGTGTGTTTGTATGTTTCTCTGTGCATGCCCATGTATGTCTGTTACACATCTGTGTATGTGTGTGCTTATATGTGTATGTGTGTTTGTACTTCACAGAAACCTGTGGTGGCGCACCAGCCCTAAAAGGAGACAGGACAGAGTGACAGAGCGGCCCTGCACTCTCATCCCTCCACAACGGCCCTCCTGTCCCTCATTGGCTCTGTGCTTTCCACTGTACACAGTCACCATCCCAGTGAGAAACAAGAAGAAGCACCCCTCCACGTGGACTCCCACCTGCAAGAGGACAGCAGCAGTCAGTCCTGCATGCTCACCTGGATTTACTGATGACTCCTGGCTGCGCCACCAGCCTCTTCTGATCTGTGAGAAACATCTGAGCTGTTGTGACTTCCCTTTAGGACAATGTTGTGTAAACCTTTGAAGGACACACAGAAGACCGTTTTACTGTGATCTTTTACCCTTTTCACTCTTAGCTTTCTTTTGTTGCTTTCATGAATGAATGGCAAAAAGATGACTCATTTAAGGCATCATCAGCCATATGTGTATTCTTGACGGTCTATATTGGGGCATGAGCAGATATATGCATTTTTCTTGTGGGTGTGATTGGAAATTAGGCATCCAGACAAGTGACTGAACTAATGATCTGCTGAATAATGAGGGAGGAATAGACATCCCAGCCCCCACCCCATGTGCACCCATTCTGCAAGTACCCATGTGGTCTGTAGACCAGGGGAAGTCACACTGTGATCAAGGGCAGAGCCAGCACATAGCAGCAAGTGAGCATTTGATAGATACAACTGAGTCATCTTTTTTCCATTCCATTCATGAAAGCAACATAAGAAAGCCAAGAGTGAAAAGGGTAAACGATCACAGTAAAAAGGTCTTCTGTGTGTCCTTCAAAGGTTTACACAACATTGTCCTAAAGGGAAGTCACAGATGCTAGTGCAGAGGGCCTGCTGGGAGAAGGACAGCCAGCAGAGCTCCAGATGAGCAGGGAAGAGGCCTGGTTCTAGCCTGGCTCTGCCACTCACTGCACTGGACCCAGTGGGGAAGAGGACAGAGGGTCACAACCAATGAGGGATGTCTGCCAAGGATGGGGGTATGGGGGCCACAGGAGTCAGCTGGCCAATTGCCCCTTCATTACATAGTTGCTCTCCCCTCAGATAGCCTGGGACTCAGAGTTATTTCCTAATATCTGTGTGGCCCATCCAGTTTTAAGTGAAGCCCACTGAGACCCTCCAGAGATGCCTTTGAACATCCTAACAGTAATCACATCTCACCCTCCCTGAGGTTCACTCCAAACAGGACCCAATGGCTGCACCGCCTTTGTCAGAAGCAGTGCTAGGAGGAGTGGCTTCCTTCATATCAAACAGGCAGTGGAGACAAGAGTCAAGCCTTGGGTCTTCAAGGGTTGATCAAGTTAAGTGTTTCCTGCCCTCTCCGAATAGGACACTTCCAGGAGCTCTCCAATCTCTCACTTAAAACTGAGGTTCAAATCCCAAAGTGTTTTGCTGGGAAGCAGGTAATCCTGCATCTTCAGGAGATCTGTGAGCACACATTAGCGTCTGTTTCTCTAACTCTTTGTGGCATCAGATAAAAGCATGGGAGTTTTTCCATATAATTCCCAACATTACTTATAAATTCTGTTCTTTGAAAAAATTCTTCAGGCTGGGCAAGGTGGCTCATACCTATTATCCCAGCCCTTTGAGAGGCCAAGGTGGGAGAATTGCTTGAGGCCAGGAGTCTGAGACTTCCTGGGCAACATAATGAGATCCCATCTCTACAAAAGCAAAAACAAAAAAGTTACCCAAGCATGGTGGTACATGCCTGTAGTCCTACCTGCTTAGGAAGCTAAGGCAGGAGGATCACTTGAGCCCTGGAGGTTAAGGCTGCAGTGAACCATGACTGCATCACTATACTCCAGCCTGGGCAACAGAGTAAGACCTTGTCTCTTTAAAAAAAAGTAATGATAAATAAATGAAAAGAATTCTTCTGAGTTCCTTTCCTAGCAGATGGCTATTCCAGAGACATCTGTAGTGGAAGCTGCATACAGGCAGGTCAGGGATCATTGAGGATAGTGTACCTCAACCAATACAGCTGCTGGCTCTTTGTTTCCAGCCAAAGATTGACAGAAGTCAGGGGTTTCTCTATGACTCCAGATGGAGATTAGAGACAAGCCTTTAAAAGATTTCTCCAAAGTTTTATCCTCCAACAGTCTTATTCATAAGGAGAAAAATAAAAAAGTTTTAGGAAGAGTTGAATGCACAGATCTCCCAAAGATGCTTCTTACAAATGAGCTGTGAGTGTGCAGCAAAATTGCACTTCCCAGATAATCCAGTATCCAACATATTGCAATATAGCACCCAGACCACCAAGGGATACCTCACCTCACTGCAGATTATTGAGGTGAAACACAATTTGACAGGTGTAGCTCCCAGCTCTCAGGGATCAAACCAACCATGCATTACAGTGTTGCAGTTTCACTATGATTTTATATCAAGACATTGTTTCTGTAAGTACTAAGGATTTTCACTTTCCAACAGCTCTATCCAAAAGAACCCACTTTATTGGAGGTCAAAAACCCATCCCCAAAGGAGTAACAGTAATGGTATTATCATTCACTGGGCTTCTGAGACCCCAGCTTTCTGCGTTAGCATGCTGGTGACAGCCAAGCAATCCTCACATCTTCACAATGCTAGTAACTTCAAAGTTATTCTTATAGAGAATATTTATTACATATGAAATCTCTTTACTTTATTGGGTTAAAACAGAAAAGATAGATAAGCAAAAGAAAAAAAGATACACAAAATAAAAAGAATCATTTACCAACTAGCAACTACTGTTAAGTCTTTCCAGACATTCATTCACATATTAGCTTTTAATTAAAACTCCCATGAGTTAATTCACTGGTAAGTGGGTAAAGCCCATTCCAAACATTACCTCACACCTATGTCTTCCTAGGAAAAAGCCAGCCCCAGAAAGAAGTGTTTTACCCATGTGTGCTACCTGTATTCCCCTGAAAATTCTAAAACAAAGTCTTCCCAGAGACAGTCTTGTTGGTACCTAAGTGAACAAACTGCTCAGGTATTTCCAATGAACACATCTGCAGCTCAGTGGCATCTGGGCTCAAAATTCCAAGGAAATGGCCATACTGGGAAAAGGAGTATTTTGCTACATCACTACAGACACTTGTAACAATCTATGATCATTAATTTTATGGGTCAATTTGGCCCAGCTGTGGTGCCCAGATGTCTGATCAAACACCAGCCAAGATCTATCTATGAAGGTATTTTGTAGATGTGATTAAGGTTTAAATCAGTATACCTGAATGCGGAAAACCTGCCATAAAGTAGGTGGGCCTTAGCCAGTTGCAGGCCTTAGGAGAAAGAAGAAATTGCCCTGAGGAGGAAGGAGTTCTGCCTCCACACAGCCTTCGGACTCCAGTTACAACCTCACTTCTTCCCTGGGTCTCCAGCCTGATGGCCTGTCCTGCAGGATTCAGACTTCCCAGTTCCTGCAATCTCATGAGCCAATTCCTTAGACTAAATCTCTCTCTAATCTCTCTCTCTCTCTCTCTCTGTCTCTCTGTCTCTCTCTCTTTCTCTCTCTCTTCTTTCTCCTCTCTCTCTCTATACACACACACCCTATTGGTTCTCTTTCTCTGAAGAACTCTGACCAATGCACAGTCCCTATATCAGAGCCTTGTCTGATGTTCAATGAGTCTGCATTTGAAACTTGTAAACTGGTTAGATGGGAGCCAGGGTCGGAGAACACCGTTTATGTTTATCACAAATGCAATGCCAAGGTCCTGGAGCCATGGCCACCTGGGGCAAGAGAAGCCTTCCTCCGCTGCTCGACTCTCACTAGCACTTTCTCTCTTGGTTCTCAGAGACGCCACTTTCTGGATGCCTCACACTTCAAAAGCAGCTTTCTAATTTACAAAGAGGAGTGCTTTAAAATCTCATAGGAGTCTGGATTTTCAGAAGCCATCTACATCAGAAACAGCTTTGCTGTTATTCCACTTGCCATGGCTGTTCCACAGCAGCCACTTGATGGCTTCCAATCCCCAAGGTTACCTCTCCTGTCAGGTTGTGCAGTGTCTTCCCTGGAGGCCAGAAGAAGCCCACAGGCCACAGCCGCAGCCAGTTTCTTCTCAGAACAAGCACGAGGGAGAGGCATTTCATCGGTCCACTCAGACACACATTGGAAGCCCTAAGTTAGTTTCCTGTGGGTGCCATAACAAAGCCCCACAAACTGGTGGATTACAACAGAAATTTATTCCCTCACAGCTCAGGAGGCCAGAGTCCAGACTCACAGGGACAACAGGGTCGTTTCCATGTGCAGGACGGCAGTTCCTGGCCCCTTCCCGCTGTGGGGCTGCTGGCATCCTTGGTGCCCCTCCGCTTGCAGCTGCCTCCCCCCAGTCTCTGCTTCCATCTTCACACTGCCCTTCTCCCTGTGTGTCTCTGCTTATCTGTTCTCTTCTTATCAGGACACCAGTCATTGGATTTGGGGTTCACCTTAACCCAGGATGACCTCATCTTAGCTAATTACATCTGCAAAGATCCTACTTCCAAATAACGTCATATTTGAGATTCCAGGTGACAGACTCCAACCCACTACGGAGTGCCATTATAATCCAAGAACCAAAACCAACTGCCCGTCATGGTGCTGTTGCCACTTACCAAGTGCCTGCTGTGTGCTGCACATTTGCCATGTTGGGGTGAAAGCTCAAAGGTCTCAAAGCTGAAGTAGACCCCAGAGTAGGGTCCTCTCCACCATGTTGAGTACAGGAAGAAAGCCTAGGAGGGAGGGAAGCTCTCAACTTGGGGCTTTTTTATATTTTTATTTATTTATTTTGAGACAGAGTCCTGCTCTGTCTTCCAGGCTGGAGTGCAATGGCACAATCTCGGCTCACTACAATCTCTGCCTCCCTGGTTCAAGTGATTCGCCAGCCCCAGCCTCCCAAGCGGCTGGGATTACAGGTGCCCACCGCCACGCCTGGCTAATTTTTGTATTTTTAGTAGAGACGGGGTTTCACCATGTTGACCAGGCTGGTCTCAAACCCCTGGCCTCAAGTGATCTGCCTGTCTAGGCCTCCCAAAGTGCTGGGATTATAGGCATAAGCCATTGCACCTGGCCTTGGGGTTCCTTTAATTGCAAAGAGCAGAAATCCACGGACACCAGCCCAAGTGAAACAGCGAACGTAGGAGAAGAACACAGAGCCTTCTCCTGGGAGCCCAGGGAAACCCAGTGATCCAGCCACAGCAGGCACAGAAGCTGGGATGGCTCTGCAGTGGCCACGGCCTGGAGGCTTCTCAGCCCCCTCGTGCCCTTCTCTTCCGCCTTGTCTGTGAACTACTCCTCACCCTGCTCGGCAGGTGGCTGCTCTCAATGGCCTCTTCAGCCCAGCTCTGGGACTGTTCCCTCCAGTGGCCATAACTTATTGTTCCAGATGCCCAAGAGAGAGATGGGCAGGGCCATGGACATGCGAGTTGCTGGCCAACCTAGAGACAGCCCATGCCAGGGGAGAGGTGGCCGTGCCTGGACTAGCAGGGCGCCAGGTCACTTCATCTGTTCAGATGGCACAGCGCTTCCGCCCTGTGCGTTCGCTTGTTCTCCCACTTTACACAAGGGGTTTCAGAAAGAGGTCACTGCCCAAGAGCGTGAGGGTCTCACGGTGTGGAGTGCACACCTGTTGCGACAGTTTGCCAGCTGAAGACCTAGACCCAGGGTAGCAAACAGCATGGTGGGCCAAAGCCAGCTGCGGCCTGTCTTCCTAAGCCAGGTTTCCTGGGAGCCCAGCCACACCCATTCATCTGCCTTTTTCTCCATGGCTACTTTTCTGCTACAACAGCAGAGTTGGCCAGCTGCCACCAAGATCCTGTGACCCACAAAGCTGGACACATTTACTATCTGGCCCATTTCAGAAGACGTTTGCCAACCACGTGTTCAAGATTGGCTTTGGACCTTCGCCTACAGACCACAAGCAAAAGAGCCGGCAGGTGGGTGCTGAGACACAGTCCCTGACTCGGATGATCCCTTCTTTGCTTCAAGGACTCTCTGCCTCCTTCTCTCCTCCTGCTTCTCCCTGCAAGACCCTCCTCCCTGGTACTTCCTCCAGGTCCTTCACTGAGTCCTCTTTCTCTGTCCGTCCCGGGCCACCTGTCCTCTTCTTGCCTCCTCCCAGGTGTGCCCCCCTTTCTGGGGCTACTCACAGCCACCTGTCCTCTGTCCATGCCCATGTTCAGGTTTATGGCTGAGGCCTCATTAAAGAGCTCTGGGCTGCTTTGGGATCTCAAATGTAAGCAAATAACGAAATAAAGAGTTCCAGGCCCAGCGAGCAGCCACCGGGCCATCCTCCAGCACCTGCCCATGATTGACCTCAGCGTTTCCCCATCCCCAAAGCTCCCACCTCAGCCCCCCAGCTCTCAGTCTGGAAACCCCAACCCAGGACCTCCCAGCCCACTCCTTTTCTGCCCCTCTTCTCAGCCCAAGCCCTACCCCATGTGTCTCCCAGACAGCTCTGGAATTCCTGTCTTTACCAGATCTCTTTCAGAGGACAGGAAAAGGGAAGCATGGTTCCTCTTTCCATAAGCCTGGTAAGACCTTCCTACGGAAGGCAACATGAGGACGGAGAAGTACAGGCACCATATTTTAAAATATCTATCTATACACTGGATTTTCTTTTTGGTAGAGATGAGGTCTTGCTGTGTTGCTCAGGTTGCTCTCAATCTCCTAGCCTCAAGCAATTTTCCCACCTCAGCCTTCCCAAAATGTGCTGGTATTACAGGTGTGAACCACTGAGTACAACCCAAAAGATCTATTCTAAATAAAAGATTAATGAAACAAATCCAGGAATGTATTAGAAAACCTACTGTATCTTAACCAGGTAAGGTTCATCCCAAGAGAGCCAGGAATTCTTTAATGTTAGAAAAGAAAATCTATTCTTGTGCTGCACTGTGTTAACAGAGTAAACAAGAAAACCACTATGATAGCTTCATTCAATAAAGAAAGGCACACAATAGTAAATAAGTAGCTGGTGCGTACAGAGGCTGACACCTGTAATCCCAACACTTTGGGAGGCAGAGGTGGGTGGATCATTTGAGGTCAGGAGTTGGAGACCAGCCTGGCCAACATGACGAAACCCCGCCTCTACTAAAAGCACAAAAATTAGCCAGGCATGGTGGTGGGTGCCTGTAGTCCCAGGCAGGAGATTCACTTGAACCTGGGAGAGGAGGTGGAGGTTACAGTGAGCCGAGATCATGCCACTGCACTCCAGCCTGGGTGACAGAGCAAGGCTCTGTCTCAAAAAATAAAATAAAATGTAAGTAGCTTACTAAATTAGGACTAGAAGGCATGGCAGTCGGAATCTTCCTTCCCATTATCCCCAAGGCTTCTGGGAAGGTAGCATGGCGGGTGGATGTACTTTCCCCAGGGAGGGGACTTTCCTGCACATGTTCTAGTTCCCATGTGCCACAACTCAAGTGGCCACATCACGTCCTGGATGAAATATTGACCAACTGAAGCTGGACAAAGAGTGTTTGGCTCTACCTGTCCTGAGTCCCATGACCCAATTAAACAGGGATGGGGAAAAGCTCCCCAGTTGCCTGTCGATGGCTGAACTCCATCTGTGGGATTCATTTCTCAAAGAACACTGAAGCCATGTGCAGCCTGAGATGCCCAGGCCAGGCCTGCAGCTTCGCAGCATTACTGCAAGAGCAGCCCACACCTCACTTGCTGTCGCAGCATCTCCAGCCAGCCACAGTGCCTCTCAGCAGTTCCGAGGCCTCTGATGGATGCCATCAGTTTCCACGTTGGGGTGGGCTAAGCAGGACTGATCCTTGTGCTACCCCCAGCCCACCTGCTGCTTCCCACTGGTAGACTCCCAAGGTGGCAAGATGCCAAAGCCACACTATGACAGATGATTTGCGAGCACGCACGCACACAGTCTCTCTCTCTCTCTCTCTCTCTCTCTCTCTCTCTCTCTCTCTCTCTCTCTCTCTCCAGTGGTGGATGCCCAGGAAGCTGCCCCCAAACCCTGGTGTCTCGCAGTTTCTGTTGCTCCAGGCAGGCCTAGCACTGGGCAGAAAACCTACCTCCAAGACAGTGATTCTTAACCATCACCGTCACCACTACAGGTTGGGTTCCCTTATCCAAAATACTTGGGACCAGAACTGTTTTGGATTTTGAGGTTTTTTTGCAGGGGGATTTTGAAATGTTTGCACAATATTCACCAGTTGAACATCCCAAATTTGAAAATCCAACATGTTCCAATGATCATTTCCTTTGAGCAACAGGTCAGCATTCAGAATGTTTCAGATTTGGGGTTTTTGGATTTGGGATACTCAACCTACATTAATAAAAATTTTCAGGGGTGGAGCTTTTCACCGTCACTGATGCCTGAGCTACCCCCAGGAATTCTGATGGAATTCATTCCAGGTAGAGCGCAGCTACTGGGAAGTTTTTAAGGCTCCCAGGTGACTCTAATTTGCAGCCCAAGCTGGGAACTGTGTGCCCCACCCTGTCACCCTTCCAGTGCTCCCTACCCTACTTCCTGCTACCAGCCACCCCTGGACTCCAGGGCTCGCAGGGAGCCCACCAGCCACAAACCTGGCTCACTGGGAAAAAGCAGCAAGAGAGGAGTCGAGTGTGCCCTGTTCCCTGAAAGGCAAAGTATTGCTCAGAAGCTTTTCCGAAAAAATGGAAGTGGCACATTGATCATCTGCACCAATCCACAGGAAGCAGGTGCTAAGTTTCCTCTCCAGATATTTTCCTTAAAAAGATTGTACTCGGCCGGGCACAGTGGCTCACACCTATAATCCCAGCACTTTGGGAGGCCAAGGCGGGCAGATCACCTGAGGTCAGGAGTTCAAGGCCAGCCTGATCAACATGGAGAAACTCTGTCTCTACTAAAAAATACAAAACTTAGCCGGGCATGGTGGCACATACCTGTAATCTCCGGAGGCTGAGGCAGGAGAATCACTTAAATCCGGGAGGGGCAGGTTGCGGTGATCCGAGATTGTGCCATTGAACTGCGGTCTGGGCAATATGAGTGAAATGCCATCTCGAAAATATTAAAAAAAAAAAAAAAAGATTGTACTCAACTGCATATAAAAGACCATTAGTATAACTTATAATTATCCAGAACACGAATGATTTAGGTCCATGTTAAATGGTAGAACATTGCACAGTTACTTAAAATGGCACAAACTTACAGATTATTTGGCAACTTGAGGGCATGATTGTTATAGTGTTAGGTGAAAAGAATGAACTTCAACATGTACGAATGTGATGAATCTACCCAGAAAATATGTGGGAAGCTCACTAGATGAAAATGCATCAAATGTAGAAGCGAGAAGCTTCTTTAACATGATCAATGCAATTTTTTCTATTTTTTTCCAAATGTATATGAACTGTTTTAATAACAAAAATACATTTGTTTCTTTTATAATAAAAATAAACATGAGAATAATAAACTTGTTTATGTTTAACACTAATCACGAAGACTGTAAAAGCCTAGGAGCCACCTATCGTAGTTAGAGAGTCTTGCTTCGACAGCACGTATACTAAAATTGGAACGATACAGAGAAGAATAGCATGGCCCCTGCACGTAAGTTACAGAATGAGGAAGACGTGCATCCAACAAATGCAGGTAGGACTGTCAGGCAGGTGAATGAACGAGGACCGAGCACATCAAGAAGATAAAAAGCCTCAGCATTGTGCTTTGGCGACTGTCCCTTCTCGCCTTGCCCTTGAACACGGTGATTTAAAGGCAGGGAGAGAGGGCTGGAAGGAGCCCGGGAGCCCCATGCATAAGGCTGAGCAGACACTTGACTCTGCGGCCTGCCTGAAGGCGAATGCGAAGAAGGGAAGCTAATGTGTTTTAAGACCACTTGATCCAAATGAAATTATATAACCCAGGAAGGAACAAATCGCGTCACTGATGAGTTTTTTAAAAATAAATAAATAAAAGAAAGGAACGAGAAAAGACACAGGGTTGCTCCTGATGTCACCCTTTGAGGGTGACAGGCTGGTTTGGGGGAGGGCACCTGGAGGTACCGGCTTCCTCCTCTTCAGGAGCTATAAAAGCGGGACAGTGGCTCCTGCCTCCTCAGCCCCACTGCACCGGCAGCCACACTCTGCGAGCGCCTCTACCACACTCGAGAGCGGTGAGTAGCACATCCAGGCGCTGGAACTGGGGTCCTTTGCTTTGCTACTTTGTAAAATCTTTCCTTTCTGTCTGAGTGTGGGTCAGGTTGAGACTCTGCCTGTTCTCCTGGCAGCTGAGGTTACTAGCCCTGAGCAGGACAGGCAAAGGCAGCTGCCCCTGGGTTCTTGCATCCAAAGCCACCCTGCCCTCCCAGGGTCCTGAGGCTCTGGTGCTGTCCATGGTAGAGACACCAGGCAAAGACGTCCCATTCAGCTCCGCTGACCAGGAAATCCCACCAGGCAGGCAGCCAAAGTCTCCACCTTTCAGGGAGGCAGGTCCCTGGGGATCAGGAGCCAAGTGAGCATCACTAGCATTCTGGGACACCCCTTACCTGGCGTAGGTCCTGTGCCAGAGGAAAAGCAAACAGCCAGCCTGCTGGGAAGCATCTCTTCATCACTCTTCAAGGTGGCACCTCCATTTCCTCTAGGCTGGGGAACACTCACCCCACCTATCATGGGACGCCCCACCGGGCCTCTAAAAAGGAGAGGGGTAGGAATTTTACATTGTTCTGATGGAGAGCACTTTCTGTGGGGCTCAGGGAGGGGCTGAAAGTCAAGGTCAGCAGAGGGGTCCTCCCCTGAGCAAGACAGAGCTCTTGGGCATCTTCTCACGGCACCCAAATGCCACAGGGGGAGCAAGGAGGAGGGGCACCTGCAGCAGGTGTTTCCTGGTCTGCCAGGTTGGATGCTGTTTGGGCATTTCAGCCCCTCCACTCCAGTGGGGTGGCAGGGGCTTTCTAGGCACCCAGTCCCATCCATGGCAGCCCCCTCCTCTCATCACCCATAGAGAGTGGCCCTTCCCTATGAGAAGAGATCCCAGGTGCTGCAGGTTTACCTTGGCACCTAGAAGACTGGATCTGGCGTCATGGCAAGGGTGAGTGGCCTTGGTCAGGACAGGGGATGCAGACACATTCCACGGCACGCAGCTGTCGGCTGACATCCTGACATGAGATGCATGTGGGAAAGGACCGTGCACTGGATTCCAGCCCCCAAGCCCGGTCCAGGCTTGGCACTCCCCAGCTCCCCAGCCATGTCTGAGGTTGGGCAAGTGGCTGCCTCCACCTGTGCAGCTACCCAGGCTCCTCCCCACAAACCTGCTGTCCTGGGTGTGCAACAAGCCTGAGCCTGCTCAGAGGCTGGCTGCACCTTCAGGTCCCTAACACAGGCAGACAGACCCAAGGCTGTCCCATGACAGCTCAACTTTACACGCCTAGCTCACACACCTCCTGGTGGCTTTCTGATGAGGAGCATCAGTGCATATATGACCAGCTGGTCAGAGGCGGACACACACATGAGCATCTCACTTAACCCTCATTGCACAGAGGAGAGAATGGGGGCACAGGTGGGTAGGGGACCATGCAGAGGGCCAGGTTTAACTGCTACTTCTGTGCTCATTCTCAACCCAGCACAGATCAGAGTAACACATGGAGATGTATGTGGCTAGGTACACATGCACACACGCACACTCTCATACATGCATGCACCCATGTGCACACAAGTCGCACCCCATTGTACACATATACACACACATACACCTGTGCACTGACATGCACACACACTCATGCACATGCTTCCCTTTCACACACACAGTGCTCACTCTACCCAAAGTCCCAGGTCTGTGCACATGCACTCTGATGCCAGTGTAAGCCTGCTCCTGCCCTTTCTCCCCCAGGCCGTGTCCTCCCCCTTTGGATCCCCCCTCCAGCAGGGCCTCCTGGAAGGAGCCAAGGGATGAAGGTGCTGAGGGCCTGGCTCCTGTGCCTGCTGATGCTGGGCCTGGCCCTGCGCGGGGCTGCAGATCAGACCCATCGGCACTCCATGGAGACCCGCAGTGAGTGCCTGTCAGCCTCCCCCACCCCGCCCCGCCTCACCCCAGGGCCTGGTGCAGCCTGGTCACTCGAGAACCTGGCAGGGAAGGGTGTGCGGGAGAGGAAAGGGAAATCAGTCCTGGTGGTTTTTGAACTTCTGCTTCCCAAAGCCAGCCCACGCCCAGAAATGGCCTCGCCAGAAGCTCTGGGCACGTCTTCCTCGAGTGGGTCCCAGCATGGCCTGGTGACTGGGCTGAGAGGCCCTGTCTGTGCCCTCTGCCCTGCTGCCTCCAGAGCACACAGTGCCCATGGTCTGCTCCCGCTCTTTCCTTTCCAGACCCTGACGTCAATCCTGCCTGGTACACCAGTCGCAGGATCAGGCCTGTGGGCCGCTTCGGTCGGAGGAGGGCAGCCCTGGGGGACGTCTCCAAGTCTGGCCTGCAACCCCAGCTGACCTGCTTCCCCCTGGAAGGTGGCGCTAAGTCCTCACAGGATGGGTGGTAGCCAGCTTGTCAAGAAAATCACCCTGGAGCCTCCCTCACCCCGCCCTTTCCTCACCCTCATGGGCTCCTTTCCCTTCAATCTTAATAAAAGCTCTGGCCTCCTTTAGTTTTGCGTCCGTGACTGTGTGGTGGTGACCCTGAAGTTGTTGCCTCCTGGGATGTTAGACTAGAAAGAACCTCAGAGCCCAGCAGCTCCTTTGGAAGTAAAGGCTCTGTGACTTGCCAGAGGGCCCCTGACACTGAGCTGGGAAACAGAACCACCCTTCAACACCGGCAGCCCACAGCCACCCCCAAGCTGCCCTGAGTGGCTGCCCAGGCTGTGCATGGCACGAGGCCAGGAGGTGCCCAGCACCACACTCTGCAGGACACCATCCCCACAGGAAGGTGGCACAGCTCCCCGCCTGAGCCCTGGGCAGCCCTCTCAACCCAGTCCTCTTTTTTTTTTTTGACATTATTTTTCAGAGCAGCTATAGGTTCACAGCAAAGCTGAGTAGAAGGTATAGAGAATTCCCACCCGCCCCCTTCCCCCACATCCATGCAGCCTCCCCACGATCTGCACCCCCACTGAGGGTACCTCTGTCCCAGTGGAGGAATCTACGCTGACACATCGCCATCCCCACCCAGTGCGTGTCAGAGCCCACTCTTCACACTGCATATCCTGCAGGTTTGCATAAATGCAAGACAACATGCTCTAGCATCACGCAGAGCCGTTCAGCTGTCCTAGAAGTCCTCTGGGCCCCACCTGTTCATCCCTCCCCTCAACCCCGGGAACTGCTCTTCCTTTTATCGCAGTCTGTCTTGCCTCTCTCTTACTCAGGGAAGATGCATCATGGATTGCTTCTGGCCCATGGCAGGGAGACTTGCACCTAGAGTGCTCCCACGCCATGCTGTGTCTCTCAAATCACACGGGGATGTCTCCACGTCCTGCCTCAGGTGTAGCTTACGTTGGCATTGGGGGCACAATTGCACCACCTGGGAGACTGAATTTATCCCCTGGCATCACTGAGCCTCAGTTTCCACATCTGCACGCCACCAGACAGCAGTGCTTACCTCATTCCTGAGCTCGGTGGGAGTGGCACCTGCATGCCAGCTGGCACAGGAGGGTGCTCTGTGAGTGCAAACCCCTTCCCCAAAGCCCACCCCCAACCCAGCCATGTAACAGGCTTAACCAGCTTCCTCCAATCCAAAGTTTGACCTGGACACAGATCCATCCAGAAGAATAGGATGGGAACAAGACACGCGGTGCTCAAGAGGAAACAAGATGCGCGGTGCTCACGCCTGTAATCTCAGCACTTTGGGAGGCCAAGGCTGGCAGATCACCTGAGGTCAAGAGTTCAAGTCTGGCCAGCATGGTGAAACCCCGTCTCTACTAAAAACACAAAAATTAGCCAGGTGTGGTGGCAGGTGCCTGTAGTTCCAGCTACTCCGGAGACTGAGGCAGGAGAATCACTTGAACCCAGGAGGCAGAGGCTGCAATGAGGTGAGATCACACCACTGCACTCCAGCCTGGGTGACAAGAGCAAAACTCTGTCTCAAAAAGAAAAGAGGAAGGAAGGGAGGGAGGGAGGGAGGAAGGAAGGGAGGGAGGGAGGGAGAAAGGAGGGAAAGGAAGGGAGGGGAGAAGGTTAGAGTCACAGGCTGGAACTGCAGGGGCTCCCAGGGCCACTCATCAACATCACCAAGTCTCAGGCTCCACCACCACCACCCACAGGAAAACAGCAGCTCACTGACACAGGTAGGTCCACACTCAGGCTAAGCCGGGCTGGAGCTGCTTCCCCAGCAGCAGCCCGGATGGTGGCCCACGGATGAGCCTCCCCCAGTGTCTGGAGCCAGTGGGATCCTGGAGCCACTTCTCATGAATCATCTGTGACACAAATGTTTGCAGCTCTGCCAGGTCCTCTCCCTGTGTGCTCGCAGAAAGGGGCCTTCCTGCCTGCTGCCCCGCCCCAGCACCGTCTCGGGACCAGAAGATAAGGTAGTGGAGCATTGACACAGGTGAGCCTTCCACACGCAGGTGTCAGAGGCGGCAGGGGCTAGTCTTCAGGCCTCGCCTAGGCTCACCTGGAAGGATTTAGAAATCCCTGTGCAGGCTGATGGGATCAGAACCTCCGGTGAGACGCAGCTGTGGGGCCCCTTTTCTTCTTTTTCGAGATGGGGTCCAGGCTGGAGTGAGGGGCTTGATCACCGCTCACTGCAGCCTCAACCCCCAAGGCTGTAGCAATCCTCCCACCTCAGCCTCCAGGGTAGCCAGGACGAAGGTGCGCACCACCACGCCCAGCTAACTTTTCATTTCTGTTGTTCCTGTAGAAACAGGTTCTCCCTTTGTTGTCCAGGCTGGTCCCAAACTCCTGGCCTCAAGTGGTCGTCCCACTTCAGTCTCCCAAAGAAGTGCCAGGATTACAGGCGTGAGCCAACCTGCCCTACCTAGGTGCGGGGCTCTCTGCAGCTCCCCAGGTGACTCAGGCGCAGGGTTGAGCCCCACCTGCCTAGTGGTGACTGAGGAAGGGAAAGGGGCAGTCACAGTCCCGGGTGAGCAGGGACCCAGGGGTCCAGGACCACGACAGATCTGTCTACTTTTGGGGAGGCCACGAAATGATTCCTGAAGGAGTCAAATGATATATTTTAATAATAAATTCTGGCATAGCCACAGTAGGCTGCCAAGACAAAGGGGGAAACAGGCAGCCGGGCCTCCAGGCACCCTACAAACCTCCCTCGTATTTCTCCCTTTCTACGTCATCCGGCAACTCTTCCGCAGTTCCTCTGAGAGCCTCCTGTTTTGCTCTTCGGCAGAGCGAGCACTCAGGACCCCAGGACCGTGGGGCCAGCCTTACGCAATGCCGGAGCGCCGTCTGGTGGCCATTGGGCAACCCCAGCCTCCTGCCGCCCCCAGGGTGGGTCCCCACCCCGGCTCAGGGCCCACTGCAGGGGAACGGGGCACGAGGACACAGCCTAGCACACTGGGGACTCACACTTCATGTTCTTCATCTGCGAGGGAATCATTGCATGAGAAATGGTCCGACTTTATTACAGCTGTAAACTGCAATGCGCATAGCAATAACAGTCAGATTTCACCTGCGAAATTGTCTGAAAACCAAGGGAACAGGCCCTCTCAGAAGCTACTGTTTTCTTTATCCTTTAGCTTTTCTTGGAGCTCATGAGAGAGGTATGTGAAATCTCATCTGCATTTGTCTAGTATAGATCACGTGAGAAGGTCATTTCAGTCACACTAGCACCAGGAAGCCACACTCCAAGGGAGACCCAAGATGTTCCTTTTCCCCAAGATTGAAAGCTGGATCTTCCAGGGACCCAGTGGATCCCAGTGGCTCCTCCAGTTAGGATAACAAGGCCAGGGATCATGAGGGAGGAGCTGTTATGAAGCTGTGGTTTGAACGCTGAGAAACGCAGGCTGGCCAGGAGGGGCTCTGCCCCGCCCCCCCACCCCCGAGAGGGCCAATGGACGAGGGCAGGAATCAGCTGCCAGAACCTGGAGGAGGAAGAGGCCTCTTGGATGGGGGCAGTGGCTTCTGGCAGGCAGGCCGTAGGCAATGATTGGCCTCTGTGTCCTCTCCCTGGACCCCTGGCAGGGCTCCCCATGGTCTGGACCCCACTGAAGGTCACAGCCTGGCATCTCTATGCCAAGTGAATGAGAGCAGAGGGAAGCCTGGTGGAGCCAGGGAAGCTCCAGGCACAGAGCCCTTTCCCCTTTCGCGTGATGGGAAGCTCAGCATCAAATGGAAGGCACTTCGCTTTCTCCTGCCTTGATCCTCACAGCAGCCAGTATAGTGATGCCACTGTTTCCAGGTGGGTAACAACGTCCTATTGTTTAAAACTCACACCTGCTTATCAGAGTCCCAGGGGCAAGGATGAAAACCAACAACACCTTCCAAAAAAACTTGAAATAACCTTGCCCCCGCAGTGTCCAGAAAGAAACCCAACAGGAAAACATTTTGTGGGGTTTTCTTCCCCAAACAGGGGCTGGGTTGCTGCAGTTTGGATATTTGTCCCTTCCAAACCTCATGTTGAAATCTGACCCCCAGGACGAGATGTGGTGGCTCACACCTGTAATCCCAGCACTTTGGGAGGTGGAGGCAGGCGAATCACCTGAGGCCAGGAGTTGGAGACCAGCTGGGCCAACATGGTGAAACCCGATCGTTACTAAAAAATACAAAAATTAAGGCCGGGCGCAGTGGCTCACACCTGTAATCCCAGCACTTTGGGAGGCCGAGGCGGGTGGATCATGAGGTCAAGAGATCGAGACCATCCTGGTCAACATGGTGAAACCCCGTCTCTACTAAAAATACAAAAAAATCAGCTGGGCATGGTGGCGCGTGCCTGTAATCCCAGCTACTCAGGAGGCTGAGGCAGGAGAATTGCCTGAACCCAGGAGGCGGAGGTTGCGGTGAGCCGAGATCGCGCCATTGCACTCCAGCCTGGGTAACAAGACTGAAACTCCGTCTCAAAAAAAAAACAAAAAACAAAAATTAGGTGAGTATGGTGGCGCATGCCTGTAGTCCCAGCTGCTCAGGAGGCTGAGGCGGGAGAATCAGTCAAACCTGGGAGGCAGAGATTTCAGTGAGCTGAGATCATGCCACTGCACCCCAGCCTGGGTGACAGAGTGAGACTCCATCTCCAAAAAGAAGAAAGGTGAAGAAAGAAGAAGAGGAGGAGGAGGAATGAAGAAAGAAGAAAGAAGGGGAAGAGGAGGACAAGGAAGAGGAAGAAGAAGAAAAAGGAGGAAGGAAGAAACCTGACCCCCAGTGTGAGAGGCGGGGCCTGATGGGAGGCGTTGGCTCATGGGGGTGGGTCCCTCGTAAATGACCTGGTGCCGTCCTAGCTGTAAAGAGTGAGCTTACTCCAACAGCGCCTGTAAGAGTTTCCCCAGAGCTGCTTGTTGAAAAGAGTGGGAACTGCCCCTACTCTCTCACTTCCTCTCCCCGAGTGACCTCTGCATGCCAGCTCTCACTGCCTTCTGCCAGGAGTGGAAGCAGCCTGGGGCCGCACCAGGAAGCAGACTGGCCCCGTGCAGCCTTTGCGGCCTGCAGAGCCATGAGCCCAATAAACCTCTTTCCTTATAAATCACCCAGCCTCAAGTATCCCTTTAGAGCAACACAAAAGCAGACTAAGACAGGTTTCTCTGCAAAGGCGGGCAGGCAGGAAGGAGTGTTGCCATCTGGGAATGCATCCCATCCAGAGAGTGGGGCCAGGCCCACGTTAGTCACAGCTGCACATGGGTCTGCTTCCTCATTTACCTCACAGGGACCCTCCCAGAATATAGACAGAAAAATCTATAACAGTCCATCAGGCTCGGGGCCCTGCCTTGTACTAGAAAGCTTCCAAATGCCAGATTGTCAAAAGCAATTTAATTTTTGGAGAAAAAGAAATGCATGTGCAGTACGACTTACATCTCAGGTGAAATGAATCTTCCCACTCATCGGACAGAAACTCAGCTTCGCTGCATTTCCAGCCAGGAGAGCATGGGAGGGAGCCAGAGCCACTGCCCCCAGCTGCCCTTCCCAGAGGCGTTAGTCCTGGGCTCACCCCATGCTCGGTTATCGCTCCGCTTCTTCCTGGCACCGCCACCTCCATCTGGGCCCACTCCCCAAACCCCCAGCAGCAGGTGAGCCCGGGCTCCGGGCCAGCGCCCCACCCAGATCAGGCGAGAGGCATCTTTCCACCATCGCCGTGCTCCAGGGACTTTTCCAATCCTTGCTTCCTCTGTGTCCAGAGGCCGCCTGGCTGAGGGGCCACCATCCAGGCAGGGCTGGCAGAGGCATCCGGAAATCAGATGGTGTGGGTGGGGATGGGACACAGCACCCTCTGGGAGTCATGCGACGCCAGCTCCTCTCCTGGCGGAACGGTTCCCACTGGCTGTGGGAAGTGGTTTTTATAAAGGGGGCAAACTTCCAGGAACCTCTATGGCTCGGGAGCAACCCAGCATTGACAGTGAATCAGAACTACGCAGAGGTGGCCATGGCCCGGGCTGGGGGCGTCTTCCCACAGCCCCCAGGGGTGGCTGCACCTATTGTGCACAGCATTTGGCCTGCCGCGCTGGCCTCTCATTCAGAGCCACGGCTGCGTCCCCCCGTGGAGCCTGGCCCTCCCTGTTGTCTCTCTGCAGTAGCTCTCGGGCTGCGAATGGCAAGAGAAGGGGGCCAGTTAGGGAGGGAAGTCCCCCCACCCAGCACAGCCCTGCAGCCCAGCAGCCAGGGAGCCATAGAACCAAAGAACCATAGAACAAGGGCTTCCTGCCCCTCCTGGTCACCGTCCAGTCCCTAGAGACATTCTGTGGGATCCTGCGTCACCAGCAAAGGGGACCCAGGAAGTCGATCAGGAACGAGCACCCCCCACCTTGTTTAGCCCGTGGGGGCATCACTCACCCACGGCACTGAACACCTCCAACACCTGATGGTTCAGTTTGGCCGAAGTTTCCATGAACAGCAACTTCTGGCTGTCGGCAAACTCCTTCCCTTCCTGAAAGAAACAGCCACAAAATCCAGCGTTGTTTATAAGAGAGTTTCCTAAGAACACCTGGTTCACTCCCAACAGTAAGACCCAAGAAAGCCGAGGCGGGTCAGACCGCGCTCCTCCACGCCTCGTGTCCAGGTTGTATTTCTTGGCACTCCTGAGCAGCCAGGACCAGGAGGGGAGGGATATGATCCCTGGAAGAGGCTCTTCCTCTAGCTGGCTGGCGGCAGCCTTCCTCCTCCTGCAGGACCTGGGAAGCCACGCTCCCACCACGAGGCTCCCCTCTCACTATGGCTGTGGGTACCTGTGGGCTCCAATGCTGGGCAGAGAACCAACTGAGAACCCAGGAAACATGAAAGGCAGAGGGAGGCCCCTGGATGGCGCCCACCTGGGCCTTTCCTCTGGGGACCCCTCATTTTCCAACGTGGGTCTCCTATAGGGAGGAAAGAATGTCCCAGAGCAAAGGCAAACTGGAAGACAGCAGCCTTGCAATGGGAGACCAGGAGAGAAGCGTTCACGGGAAGGCCACCGCCTCGCCCAGGAGTCAGGGGTGGCCGAGGAATGGGGGCCCCCTGTGTGCAGGCCCCTCCCCTAGCCTCCATGACTCTCCCAGGAAGAGGAGCCTGTGGCAGATCCTGGAGAGCACAGCTCAGGCTCCTGACTGTCCTGCCAGACACGGAGCTGGCAGCAGGCGTGGCCAGCCATGCACACAGCCCTGGCACCGTCCACAATTGTGCATGCACCCCTCCTACCCTGACCCAGAGAGCCTGGGCCAGCTGCTCCTCAGCCAGCTCCCCAGGCAGACGCTCCAAACCCACCCTGGCTGCCCACTGCCCCTCCAGACCTTGGGAACCTCACGCCCATGTTTTTGTGCCTGCCCGAGCGCACAGCCCATGTAGTCACTCTCAGGGGCCACAGCTCTGCTGCCAGGCTCCTCCCCTCCCCACCCTGCCTTGCAACAAGGGCTCAGGCTGAGGCTGCCTTCCTTTGCTCCCCTTGCTCTCCCCGCAAATTCTCCAAATTCTTCACCCCACTTCTCCATCTCTCTTCGGCCTCCATCGAAGCCAGAGCCTTTCTCTTCGGGAGGCGTGGAGGTCGGCCTAAGCCCTGAGTCAGGGCTGCCCCTGCGCCAGGGCTGCCCCTGCGCCAGCCTCTAGTGTGTGTGGGGCCTCCCCACCGGCCACTTGCCTGCAGCTGCTTACGTGGTCTTTGTCCTAAATGTGGTGGGAAGTAAGATGCCGTGGAAGAGACAACAGCGACAGCTGGGTGACCGCTGCCTCCACCTGACAGAACTTGGGTGAGGGGGACTACATCTACACAGAGCCCCCTTCTGGGAGCTGAGTGGGGAAGGGAGCTCTGCTGAGGAACTGGATCTTTCTCATTCAGGCCGAGCCCACCCTGCAGCCGCCACCTTGCCCTTCCCTCCACCGGCTACCCTGTGCCTGCTCCTCCACCACTGGCCTTGAACTGTCATTGTCCCTGGGCCTGAGTTTTCCAGGAAAGACCAGAAAGAAATCTTTGACCAAAAGAGAAATTTAGATAGAAAGTTGTGTGTTTGGGCTGGGTGTGGTGGCTCACGCCGGTAATCCCAGCACTTTGGGAGGCCAAGGTGGGCAGATCGTGAGGTCAGGAGTTCAAGACCTGGCCGACATGGTAAAACCCCAGCTCTACTAAAAAATACAAAAGTTAGCTGGGCATGGTGGCTCATGCCTGTAATCCCAGCTACTTGGGAGGCTGAGGTAGGAGAACTGCTTGAACCTGGACCCAGGAGACAGAGGTTGCAGTGAGCCGAGATCGCACCACTGCACTCCAGCCTGGGCTACAGAGCAGGACTTCATCTCAAAAAAAAAAGAAAGTTGTGTGTTTGTGTGTTTGTATCTGTGTGTGTGCTTATAAACTTGTGTGGGTGCAAGTGTGAGTGAATGTGGGGGCGTGCGTGTGTGTGGAAGTACGTGTGGGCATGTGGAGGTGTGGAGGTGCGTGTGCACACGTGTAAGTACATGCAGGAGCGGGTGTACCTGTGTGAACGTGTGCGTGCCAAGGTCTTGACGCAGGTGGGCAGGGCTCTCTCCTCCGCCTGTGGAAGAGAACAACAGGGGCTCCCGGGCAGTACCTCGAAGGTCACCTCCCGCTCCTCACTGAGGTCCGTCTTGTTGCCGACCAGCATCACCAGGACTTCTCCCGGCTGCAGCTCCTTCTCCAGGTCCTTCAGCCACTGCTGAGCCTTGTGGAAGGAATCCTAGGAAAGAAGAAAAAGTAACATCAAACACAACTTACAGGCGGTCTCCATGAGCTATTCCAGGGGGGAAAGACTGGTGCTGGTCATGTTGTGTAAAATGTCACAGAATCCAGCTGGCCGTGGACGGGTCTGCAGCGCCGCTCCGTTCCTCTGAGGAGGGGTTGTTCCTGCTCTGGGTGACCTTTCCAGCGAGGCAGCAAACTGCTGGGACACACGTCAGCTCCTTCACCCTGACCAGGCCCAGGAGACTGCCGGCCACGGGGTATTTCAGGTCATACCCTGAGCTCCTAAATGTCCTCAAAGGACGATTTTGTGCAAGAGTCTGGGGACTGGCCATCACCCCAAACCCTGGCCCCAACACAGCACCAGGAACTATTGAGCGGCAGCTGGCTGTGGCATGTGCTCTGCAGACCACGGAGGAGGAGAACCCCGGCTGTGGAGGAGGATAGGGGTTGTCAGGAGGCCCTCCCGGAGGAGGTGACTAGTGCTCACAAAGGGGGCCCCTGTTTTGTGAGTACACCATGGCATCATTGCATTGGAGAAAGCAGAAGGCAGGTGCATGGGAAGGAGAGTGGCACATGGCTGGAGGCAGGCCCTACCTTCCTGGTGATGTCATACACCAGAAGCGCAGCATTGGCGCCCCTGAAGTAGAGGTGGCAGACACTGTGGTACTTCTCCTGGCCAGCTGTGTCCCAGATCTCAAGCTTCAGAGAGGAGGTGCCCAAATCCACCACCTTTGTGAAGAACGCACCTGAAACAGGGAGGCCAAGAGAGCTTACTCAGAGGACGAGGTGCCCATGTGCGGCTCAGGTGGGACCACAGCAAGCCACAGGCACAGCGATGGGCTCAGAGGGGCAGCTGGCCACGCACCTCCTACGCCCACATGGCCGGGAGGTCGAGCAAACAGCTCCTCTGGGACATGGAGGCTTCCACATCGAGCAAAGCATCAGGAGTGATTGCTATGAGCCCTTCGGAGAGTCTTTGGCTGGGAAGATCAATCTCTCCAGGACATAACACAAAAGCTCTAGGCTACATGTGCTGGGGAAGGGTCTCCACTAACCCGGCATCTGATGCAGCCCTGCCAGCTTCCAGCGATGCAGCCGGGCTCTGGAGCCCCTAGAGCCCTGAGCACCCCCGGCCCATTGGCCCCTTGCCTGCCAGGCCCATCTTGCGCAGGGCCAGCCACAATTGCACAGGCTCCTCCAAGTCCTTCCTTACCTCCTACCCTCCCCACTTCCCCCATGCTGCTCCCCCCAACCCCCTTCTCTACTCTCCCCTCTGCATGGCGTCCTTCCTCTTCTTCCCCTAGAAAACTCTTAGGTGTCCTCTGAGATCTTTGAGCGTCAACCCCAAGATGGCTGCTGGGTCCCCTGCCTCCATGGAAGCCTCCCAGCATCCCAAACACACCCGAAGCTAGGCCTCCTGCATTCTCTACCTGTCTCCTCCAGGAGGACAGGAGCTTTATCTTACTCATTCATGTACCTGCTACACACACACACACACACACACACACACACACACACACACACTACCTCCAAGCACTTTAACATACTGGGCAATGCACTGTTCATGTAAAGATTTTGTACCCTTGGCTTTCCAAAGCGATGTGATTTTTAAATGATTGTTTTATAGATCTCCAAAATGTTTCCCCCATCATGTGCGGCTTGTCAGGGATGTGTTACACACAGAATTGGAAAGGGGGAACACAAGGTGTCCGGGGCATGGAGAAGCCACCAGCACGGACAGGCTCCTGTGAAAGCCACTACCCTGCCTAGACCCTGGCTTGGGTTTGGAGTCTGTTGGGGAGATTCTGGCAAACAGATCCAGATGTTTAAAATGAAAACTTTCACTCCAAGGACAGTGTGTGAGTGTCCTGCGGCTGACATAATTAAGTACCACGAGCCTCCCTTCGGCTTCACGGGCTGCGGGCAACCCTGGCATTCCCGGTAGCTGTATCACCCCCGTCTCTGCCTCTGTCTTCACATGGTTGCCCCTCTGTAGCTGTGTCCTCTCCTCTTCTCATACGGACATCAGTCACTGGACTTGGGGGCCATCCTGAGTCTCAGCTTGTTGGCCTTAATTAGTTACATCTGCAAAATTACCTCTCTCCAAATGAGGTTATACTCATAGGTTCAGGGGGTTAGGACTTAATCACATCTTTGCAGGAGGGAAAAATACAATTGTACCCACTACACAGAGATCAGGAGGCATGGCTGCACAGAGATTTCCAGCATGGCGCAGCAAACCACGCTTCTCTCTCAGGAGACAATCTCTTCCTAAACGGAAGCCACCGTCTGGGCTCTTCTGCCCGAGGCCTGCAGTTTACTGCAGGTCCAGGAACTTGAAGTCAGACAAACTCTCCAGGTCACACAAAGCCACAGTCTCCATCCAGACAGTAGGACCAGTGATTTCCAGCTTGAACAGGGCGACTGAACGGGCTGTAAACCTCTGAACACAGCAGGTGCTCAGCTGGATTGACAGTGGGGCCAGAATGAAGGCCGTGCACAGGCCATGAACGTGGACCCGTCGGCGGTGTGGCTCTGGCAGCTTGCTCCAGCTTCCTAAGTCTCAGCTTCCTCTTCCGTGGCAGGAGCTAATGGCGCCCTCCACCCAGGTGGCGTCAAATGCCCTGAGCAGGGAGAGACACGGCACGCGAATTTTGCTGTTTCTTCCTGTCCTCTTTGCTCTTCGCGGACTTGTCTCAAAATGTGGGCCTTTTATCCACGTCTTTTTGTTTCCTATCCCTTGAAATCACATTTCTCACTTTGAATTTGGTTATATCTTAAAAGCTATGACAGGGAACAGGTGGGCATAAAACTCAGGTTTGCTTTCTCCATTTACCAATCTTAGCCTCTCATATTTTCCTTTCCATGTTGAAAATGATGGCTGGGGGCCGGGCACGGTGGCTCATGCCTGTCATCCCAGCACTTTGGGAGGCCGAGGTGGTGGATTGTTTGAGGTCAGGAGTTCAAGACCAGACTGACCAACATGGTGAAACCCTGTCTCTTCTAAAAATACAAAAATCAGCCAGGCTTGCTGGCATGAGCCTGTAGTCCCAGCTACTTGGGAGGCTGAGGCAGGAGAATCGCTTGAACCCAGGAGGTGGAGGTTGCAGTAAGCCGAGATTGTACCACTGCACTCCAGCACGGATGGCAAGAGACAGAGCGAGACTCTGTCTCAAAAAATAAAAAAGAAAAGAAAATGATGGCTGGTAGTTGAATTTAAACTAATGTAAAATCCCAGGAAATTTCCAAGGAGGGCATGGTTTTTAGTCCAAGCAATGATAATGCATGATAATAGTCAACATTCGGCCATCTACAGATAGAAACTTCTCTTCTCTGCAGAGAATTGTAAGGCCCTCAGGTGGGCCCCTGGACAGGTATCCGAGAAGACATCATGCATTTATTATCATATCCTTTTCCAGAAACCCACTAACCACATTTCCTATATCTCCACAGCTAATGCGAAAATGTGATTAAAAAATAAATTTCTGGCTGGGAAGGCTGAAGCAAGCCGCCCGGGGTCACACAGCTGATGGGTCTGCATACGTGCAGCGGCTCATGCCTGTAATCCCTGCATTTTGGGAGGCCAAGGAGGGAGGATCACTCTAGCCCGGGAGTTCAAGACCAGTCTGGGCAACGTAGTGAAATCTTGTCTCTACAAAAATACAAAATTTAGCTGGGTATAGTGGCACACACCTGTGGTTCCAGCTACTGAAGAGGCAGAGGTGGAGGCTTGAGCCCAGGAGGATGAGGCTACAGTGAGGTGTGCTCATACCACTGCAAAATAAAAGTTCCTCTACTAAATTGTATTTATTTTCTTTTTTTTTTTTTAGTAGAGATGGGGTTTCACCATGTTGCCCAGGCTGGTCTCGAACTCCTGAGCTTGGGCAATCCACCTGCCTTGGCCTCCCAAAGTGCTGAGATTACAGGAGTGAGCCACTGCGCCCAGACTCTCTGCTAAATGTTAACATCATATAAGTTATTTTGCTTTTTTACCTTTTAATTTAAATAAAGAGCTGATTCTGCTCATTGAAGCCCTTGCTGTAGCACTTGGCTTTTTTTGTAAAAATAGTGAGCTGACGACAAATTGAAAAGAACATGAAATGGAAACATATTTTCTGGGAGCGCTAGGACGTCAGCCACAATCTCAGTTCAGGAGGGAAGTGAGCTGGTGCCAAGTTGAATGTGCTCAGTACCTGTTTGTCACCGTCCCCTTCCTGAAAAAAGCCCAATACGTCTGGGGTTAGTCGTGGCTTCAGCTGGCAAATATGCACACAAGCACTAGATGTCACCATCCTTCCAAAAGACATCACCATCACACAGCAAGCCAGCAGCACACAGAAGCTCCCCTGCTGTGGCCATTAGGGTGGTGGTGGCAGTTCATGGAGAGTGCCAACCCCCAACCCTGACACAGCAGTGGCTCCTGAAGCTGCCAGCTCCACCACAGGCCCTGGCAGAAGGCTGCGCTACCTTGGACTCCCTCCGTGCTGCCTCTGTGCCTGCCTGGTCGTGCAGCACTGGCCAGCTTGTTGGCTTAGCCTGGACTCCCCTCCGCGCTGCCTCTGTGCCTGCCTGGTCCTGTGGCACTGGCCAGCATGTTGGCGTTCCAGCTTCAGGGCTCGACTCACTGTCACTTTCTGGCTCTGCTTCCTGCTTCCTCTGACTGGACTGTGTCTTGCCAGGAGCTAAGCCCACCTCCTGTGTCATGTTCCTGCTGTGGGACCCACTCCACACACCCCTCAACTGAACCAGACCCTCAGGAGGGCACCAGGGACCCAAGTCCATCCTCCCAGAGGCTGGCCCTGGCCTGAAGTGACACCCCTCAGACAGGGCCAGCCTTGGTGATGACCTTAAGTCACCCAAGGTAACAGCAACCTTTCATGGAGAGCTCACTCCAGGAAGGTGTTCACGCCCCCATTTCACAGGGAAAACATCCGGGCAGAGGGAAGGAGCTGCGTGACCGTGGCCATCCACCCCTCCCTCCCTCGGAGTTCCTGCAGCCACACACTCTGCGTGCTGCCTCCTGCATTTCCAGGCTGCCTGTGAGGACAGCACTCCCTTCTCCTCTGAGGCTCTGCTCCTGGCCCACCCTCTCCCCTGGGCAGGAGCCAGTGTTCTTGGTAAAAGCTGAAACCACACGGGACAAAAGCAGCGGGAGTGTCTGCTCTCAAAGAGTTTTTACACAGCCCAGATCACTCTTCCCCAAAGCACGTCGGCTAAAGGAATAGGCGCATCCCAGCTCCTCATCCTAAAACTGGCAATATCCACATTTATAATAATATATGATCGTGTAATAATTATAGTGATGATTAATAATTAGCATACACTTTGGGAGGCCGAGGCCGGTGGATTGCTGGAAGTCAGGAGTTCGAAACCAGCCTGGCCAAAGTGATGAAACCCCGTCTCTACTAAAAATACAAAAATCAGCTGGGCATGGTGGTGTGCACAATCCCAGCTACTTGGGAGGTGGAGGTTGCAATGAGCCAAGGTGTTGCCACTGCACTCCAGCCTGGGCAACAGAGCAAGACTCCGTCTCAAAAAGCAATAATAATAAAATAATTAACATAGGCTGGGTGCAGTGGTGCACACCATGGCAAAACCCCATCTCTACAAAAAATACAAAAATTAGCCTGCTATGGTGGCACATGCCTGTGGTCACAGCAACTCGGGAGGCTGAGGTGGGAGGATGGCTTGAGCCTGGGAGGCAGAGGTTGCAGTGAGCCAAGAACACGGCACCGCACTGCAGGCCAGGTGACAGAGCAAGTCTCTGTCTCAAAAAAAAATTAACATCATAATAATTGTATAACATCTACTCATAGTTACAGAAATATTTACCTCCAAAGGCTGTAATATTATCCTGTGTATGACGCAGACACTCGGATGGAAGCAGAGGACACCATCGCTCCCACAGGGGACTCAGCCAACAGCGAAGGAAGGAGCTTCCACATTTCTGCCCCCAACCCAGCACAGCTGCCAACACACAGAGGTGCTCGACACAAAAGTAGGGACACCAGGCTTGGAGGCTGATGGATTGAAGGCGGCTTGTGAGCCACAGGCTAAGCTCATCTGGCTGTCCTCCTCTCTCCTTTGTGCCATGGGCCACAGTCCACAGCCTCCCACCCCGTCCCATCACAGAGACCCAGAGTGGGAACAAAGACTCCAAGCACCAGTCCTGGGTGAAAGGCAGATCCAGCCTGTAGGATAGTTCTCCCCTCGGAGAGAGGAGATAACCCGGGGGAGAGGGTGTTGGAGGAAGGGAGACCCTGGCTTTCATCTGAAAGCCTCCGGCAGGGGGATGACCCCTGAGGGGACAGGCAGAGGACCAGGAATAGAATGAGTCATACAGGCCTCTGCATCTTGAAAACCAGCCACCCAGGTACAGAGCCCGCAACATCCAGGCCTGGTGAGGACCCCATCTGTGTTCTCTGTTCTCAACTGAGGCCACCATCAGGCCAGCCTCAGCCCTTCGATATATGTTTAAAGGAAGCCAAGTCCAATATCACGGGTGAGGGGTGCAGATCTCCTTGCTAATGGGAAAGAGGACTGCACGGCCCAGGCAAGTTCTGACTCTCTCTCCCCAGGGTAGCCTCTGCAGACAGCCTCTCCCCATCGCTCTAGCCCTTCTCACCACTAGCTCTGGGAGTCGGGCCAGACAGACCCCTGCCGATCCCCCTGTATCCCCTGGTGATCCTTCAGGAACCGCCCCCCTGAGAAAATGGAAGGGCTCCCTAATAGCGAACGTCATGTGCCACATTTTACAAGTGTGTTTCTGTGTTTGGTGCATCTGTTTAGCTGGTTATAGAATCTTCCGCACCTAACACAGGCCTACAGAAGAGTCCACGCTCAGCAGACACCTGTTAGATGAGTGAATGAATGAGTGAACTTGGAGAAAGGGCAGCTTATCCATGTCAGAGTCCGAATCTGAAACAGAGTCTGATTCTGCACGTGTTCCCCAGAGGGGATCCGCAGAAAGAACCCCTGGCTTTCCCTGTTTCAGGTGAAAACTGCGTTTCACTGCCTAGGCAGGCTGTGCCCACAGCAGGATGGGAAGGAGGCCAGCAGCCTGCAGATGCCCCTACAGTTACTCCTGAGATTCGTGACGGGTTAGCCTTTTCAAGAAACACAGCGAGAAGGCCTCCCTCCCTGCCCATCCCCAACAATGATCCAGGCCAGACTGGTAAACCAAGTCCAGGCAGGAAGGAAGGTGCTGTTGGGGTCAATTAAGCAAGGGAGCAGTGTTAGCAGGAGGGCAGCCTGGGCGCGGGGAGAGGACAGCTGGTTTGGGCCACTGAGTGGCCAGAGCCCAGGAGGCTTCTTCTGGGCTCTCCCTTCTGCCAACATAATCCCTCACACCCAGCCTGACCCTTCTGGGCCAGAGATCCTACCCCTGAATCTCCACTCCCTGCAGACTCCAGCTGAGCTGAAACCTGACCCAGAGCCAAGACACCCCCTCCCGTCATGCACTGGATACGGGCAGTACAAGACTCCAGGACAGTATGGGGATTCCTAGGCGGGCTTCATCCCCATCTGCCCCAGGTGTGGGTCAGTGGCCTGGACTTCTGCACTGAAAACCAACAAAGCATGCTCCGCCCCTCACTTACAGCCCACCGTAGGCAGGAGACTCTTGAAGTCATTCTTCACGTACCGGAGAGCCAAGCTGGACTTGCCCACGGAGCCACTTCCCAGGAGAACCAGCTTGAACACACGGGGCTGGCTGGGGGCAGCGCTGGGCTGGGGGCTCCTGTGTGCCTGTGCCATGCCCTGCAAAGAATCACAACTGTCTGAGGCAGGTGGAATATCCGAGCCACACCATCGCAGCAAGCTTAACCCCGGGCTTCTTCCTGGTCAGGAGCAGGTGGCCCCAGACAGAGCTCCCAACTCAGAGGCCACCTGGGTCCGTACTCCTGCACCCCTCTGCACCCCACGCCCCATCTCCCCATCTGCAAACTGGGGTGCGTGAGACCCATTTTTAGGTCTGTGGTGAGGAACAAAGAGAGCTTTGCTTGGAAAGCGCCAGGCATGGGTGATGGCAGACCCTGACAAGCGATGATTGTGTGTAATGGTCTCAGGGCTGGCTGTCCTCATTCCATTACTGTCTTTTCTTACAAATCTGCCACTTGTCCCAGAAGTATCTAACGCAGAGAGAGGTAAAAAGCATCTGAGAATTTCCTGGTTGGCTGTTCATGGATTAAAGTTCGTGTTTCAGAAAAACTCTGCCTAAAAAAAAATGTTGGTGTCTCAATGATCTCAAAACATCAAAGACACATTTAGACACATTCCTATTGTGTCTAAAGCCTCAGAACCCACCGTGGGATGCCCCAGAGAAAACCAACTTTGTGATCAAAATAAATGTGGGCAACCCCTGCATATGTTTTCATTATGGAAACTTTGCTGTACACACCACAATAGAGAGAACGGTCTGATGGGCCCATGTACCCACCTCCCACTTCCCCAGTAATCAGCTCGGCCAGCTGTGTCACTCACAAACCTCCCCCCAGCAGGTTAGTGTAAAGCAAATCCAAGGCATCCTATCGTCTGCAAACCTCAGGACAGATACAGGTATTTTTTTCTTCTTTGCAGTTCATGTGTTGAAGAGATCAGGTTGTCTCGTAGATTTCCTGTACGGATGTTGCTGATTGGACCCCTGTGTTATTGAATAGAGCCCTGTGAACTCTGTATCTTTGATACCGTGGTGGTTCAGGACACAAACCTGATTAGATACCGGCTATTTTTTGGCAAGATTGCCACAAGAGTGTGTGTGCACCTCCCTCAGAAGGCAAATAATGTCCAGCTGTCTCTCTGTAATGTTGGCAGTCACTGAAGACCATTACTTTGACCCTCTATTTCACTAGGGGGTTGCAAAATGGTGACATTCTAATAATGTTCTAATCTAATAATAGATAATGTTTGTTATTATCTAGGAAGAGAAGCTCCCCACAATCTATATGAAACCTAACAGGGGGCAGCTGGTCCTGTCATCAGGTCTCATCTCCCCCTCTCACCACGGTGGGGAGGAGGGGGTCTCTCTAAAGGGGGAAGGAAAGGAATTTTGAAAAGGAAATAAGAAAAGCAGGAGTGGTTGAAGCAGCCCACGTGCCCTCACTGCCCCCAGTAAGCAGCCATGGCCACAGACTGGTCTGGTCTGCCCTGCAGGGATAAGAGGGAAAGAATCAAGTTTGGAATCAGTCTTGAAATAAATAGGACTGAGTCCTAGACACCAAGAAGACTGTTCTAGACAGAAAGTGACTGGAGAGTCATGGAGTCGGGAACAGGAGGGTTTAGGGCTCTCTACCCGTCACAGAAGAGGGGCTCCACGTAGTAGACTCGGGTGGTTATCCCAAACAAGCCTGGAACCCCATCTTCCATGGAAATACTCAAGTTTCACCATCAAGTATGAAGNTGTGTTTGTGAACATATTTAAGTCAAGCTACATATTCTCCAAGATTCTGACAAAACTTTTACTTGTGTAAGGACTGTCTCCAGAATGCTGCAGCTGGATTAAAAACATAAAATTAAGTTTTCCATCTGTGTTTCTTTAAAGAAAGAAAGAGAGAGAAAGAGAAAAGAAAAGAAAATCTCCCCAGGTGATCTCAGTATGCAGCCAAGACTAGAAATCACTGACAGAATTCTGTTTTCCTTAGAGCTGGGAACAGGGTCTAGCACGTAGTAAGTGCTCAATAAACAGCTAAGAAATGACTGAATGAGGCCAAGCACAGAAGAGCACGTAACACTTGCATTTTGAAATATCTGCCTGAATTGAGGACGATTTCCAGAGGCCCGCTGTGGTTTGTATGTATTCTTCAAAAAGCAGATTTGGAAACTTAGTCCCCAGCACAACTGTGCTGGGAGGTGGGGCCTAATGGAAGACAGTCAGGTCAAGAGGACTCTGCCCTCATTAACCCACGCCCAGCATGGATTATAACACTGTGGCTGTCTTTCATGTCCGTGAGCCTGCCTGTATGTTCTCTTGCCTTTTCGCCTTCCACTGTGGGATGACGCAGCAAGAAGGCCCTCAACAGGTGTAGCCTTGGACTTCCCAGCCTCTAGAACCATAAGAAACAAATCTCTGTTCTTTATAAATTCCTGTCTCAGGAATTCTGTTAAAGCAGCACAAACAGGCTAAGACAGCACCTGAGGCAAAGTGAGAGTGGCTGGGGTGAGAACTTGGCCCAGCAGATGATCTGCCCAAGTCAGCTGGGACAGGCTGTCAGAGGTCAAGACACAGCCGAGACTTTCCGCCCTTTGGTGGAAGAGGAAAGGGTGAAAGAGGGGGTACAGTGTACATTGCTCAGGTAATGGGCACACCAAAATCTCAGAAATCACTAAAGACCATATCCATGTAACCCAATACCACCTGTTCCACAGATCTATGGAAATAAAAAAATAATAATAAATAATAAAATATAATATATAAAAATAAAATAAAAATATAAAATATATAAAATAAAAATATATAAAAAATATATTTAAAAATATAAATATATATAAAATAAAAAAATATAAAATATATATTTAAAATATATATATAATATAAAAATAAAATATAATAAAATAATTAAAAAATAGTAAAAAATAAAAAAAATCTATGGAAATACCACAAATCTATGGAAATAAAATAAAAATAAAAATAACCAAAGCTATCCCTTTGAGTTCTCTATGCTATTTATTTGCACGGGTTAATAAAACCCTTCCTAAGTAAAAAAAAAAAAATCTGTGGCCCAAAACATGTCAGAATTAGCTGAAACAGGTGGACTCTGAAAGAATGTCCTGTGACTACTGGGATACCAGCGTCTCATTCCTTTGACGATGATATGTCTCTTTGTTTTAAAAAGTTATTTTATTTTTGGGCCAGACGCAGTGGCTCACACCTGTAATACCAGAACTTTGAGAGGCTGAGGCGTGTGGATCACTTGAGGTCAAGAGTTCAAGACTAGCCTGTCCAACACGGTAAAACCCTGTGTCTTCTAAATACACAAAAATTAGCGGGGTGTGGTGACAGGCACCTGTAGTCCCAGCTACCCAGGAGGCTGAGGCAGGAGAATTGCTTAAACCTGGGAGACAGAGGTTGCAGTGAGCCGAGATCCCACCACTGTACTCCAGCCTGGGCGACAGAGTGAGACTTCGTCTCAAAAAAAAAAAAAAAAAAAGAAAAAAAGGTCGTTATTTTACTATAAACATACAAATGTCTATATAAAAAAAGACTTCCCATAACTCCAGCCCCTTAATACAGCCACGAATGGTATTTTTGCCCACTTTTAGTTTTTTTCTGAGTCTTAAAAACAAACCAAAACCCATAGTTTTAACATAAAGTTATATCCTATGTTTTAAAAATACTTAAATATAATACCAAAGACAGTCGCCCACATTGCTTCAAAATCGTATCTAATGGACACACAACACTTCTTCAACTAACTCAACTTGCTGCACCATTTTCCTAGTACTGGATTTTTACTTGGTTTTAATTTTTACTCTGTAATAAGATTGCAGTAAACGTTTCCTTATATAACTTTTTGTGTGATTCAGTGTTGTAAGCTTTCAATAATGAAAGGTTGGAGGCCTCAGTCCAAACAGAAAATTAAAAGTGTGGCACCTGACCCCCACCTCCAGGATTTAATCAAGGTCGGGTTATTAGCAGTCTTTCTGAAGGCAAAGATGTTTTCGGGAACAGCATATTTGAGATTGGAGCTTCTCTAGTAATCTTAACTTGGGGACTTTTCATCTCTTACACCTCCCTTCCACAAAGGGGGGAAGAAAGGAGAGCAAGCCCAAAACTAGTCTTTTTTGTGGGGAAGGGGGCATTCTGGGGAAGGGTCTGGTTGATGAGTCTGTTACCAAATGTGTCCCTGTGTCTCCCTTGCCTGGACCTGTGAAGAACACCGACATTATGAGAAGAACCCAGCACACTGTGTTCAGAGTGCAGCCATTTGATTCAGAGAGAAAACAAAATGTAGATTGTAAAAAGGAGTTTACAAGAAAATCTGACAAGCTTCCTAGATATCACTGGGTATGAAATTGGGAATCTTGATGTCATTTGAAATGGATTCCTTGAAGGGTTCTTATTAACAGAAATCTTTTTTTTTCCAAGACCTTAAAATTGGAACTTTCCCAAAGAAAAATTCAAAGAGGAATCTCCTTCCGGGAATCTGACCTGGTGAGCCATCAGAAATCCGAACAAGGAAGTATCCAACCCAGCTTTGTCCTTTGAATTATGCACACACAGGCACATGCACAGACACAAACAAATACAGACACAAATACAAACACGTGAGCACATACACACAGAGGCAGACACACACACACAGAGGCAGACACACACACACGCAAAGGTAGACACACACACACACACACACAGAGGCAGACACACACACACACAGAGGCAGACACACACACACACACAGAGNCACACACAGAGGCAGACACACACACACGCAGAGGCAGACACACACACACACACACACAGAGGTAGACGCACATACACAGAGAGGCCGACACACACACACAGAGGCAAACACAAATACACACACACACAGAGGCAGACACACACACACACACAGAGGCAGACACAGGCACGTGCTCACACAGACACTACACAGTGCACAGAGGTTTAAACAATGACTCACCTGTTCCCCAGGTTCGGTCACTTGTACGGAGCTGAAGAGCCTGTCATCACCAGTCCACAGAGGTGCCACCTGTCTTCCCTTTCTCCTTGCTCTGGCCCAGTGGGAGGTTTGCTTCCCTCCACGGGCGGGACAGGAGGAGCCTCTGCTCCAATGGAAAACAGCCGCAGAGCAGAGGTCAAGAGCAGCAGCCTTGGACCAGGGCAGTGCCCACTGGCCGCCAGCCCCAAGGTCAGGCTTATTTTCCTCCAAAAAGGTTTCAAGGCAAAGTCCACAGTGATCATGTGGTCACCTGGGGCAGGGCGGAGGCTGGACCACAAAGCAGGTGACCCACGAGCACCTGCACGCTGCCGGAAGCCACATTCCAGTCCAGAGCTTGCTGGCACCCAACTGGAGCCCGGTTTTCAGCTTTGTTCCGGGGTGTCACTTCCGGGGTCTCACTTTGGCATGGAATGTTTTTCTTGGCTCCTTCCTCAGAGCTGTATTGAATCTTTGTTGCGCTTGAAAAACCAACAGCCCAGAAGAGAAGAGAATATTTCGGTCAAATGAATTCCTCCCACTGTCAACTGAAGCCAACCCTGGCTGAACCCTGCACTGGACCCAGAGGCCACTCAGTGTGGGCCAGTCCAGGGTCAGACCCTGGGCTGGATGCTACCTGGCGTGGGGTGGGCGTGGCTTCCGTGGACCCTGGAGGCTTGGGGCACAGGAGAGCGGGAGGTGGACTTCCTCCTGGCCTTCTTAAATTCTTCAGGAGACCAGTCTCGAAATTTCCTGGCTTGGTGGTAAAGAAGAGCCTCCTTGAGGTAAGATTTCCAGAGTCTCTGAGCACGACTCGGGTAGCAGGGTTGTGCCTGAGGCTGAGGAGACGGAAATCTGTTGCCATGAACATCACTCCACACAGCCTGTGTGTGGGAAGCCAGCTCACTTTATGTCCTCCAAACTCACCCTGACTTCTAGTTTGGGTCCCATCCCATGGGGCTGCCGGGAAATAAGCTCTGCCACCACAGTGGTTCCTCTCCCTGTGGGAGTGGGGGACTCTTATGCTGGAGGGGGGACACCGGCCTGGGCTTCTGCTGAGGCTCTGCCCCTCATCCCTGCAGGGTGGACTAGCCAGTCCTAACACAGGGCAGTGTTGCTCTGCTGTGTCCGCGCCTCCCCTGGGATTCTTCCTCCATGCCACCACTTCCCTGGGGCGTGGCCACCTCCCCGGATGCTGCCAGCCTGCTCGGCTGAGCCCCGGCACCCTGGAGACTTGCGAATCTCTATCTTTTTGAATGGCGTCCTTAGCCTGTGCCCCTAGGCTGGTAACCAAAGGTCTGGGAATGATGACACGCTGGAACATCCTGGAAGAGCTGAACCTCAGATAATTATCACAGCTGAGTTCAAGTCTCAATCACAGCTCTGTAAAGAAGCCCCGAGGAGAAGGGGGGCACCGCTTCCCCAGAAAGTCCCCGAGGGCCTTGGCCTATGGCTGGTGTATGGGCCTCGGCCTATGGGAATGGTGTAACCCGTGTGATGGAGGGCTCAGTGAACGCACTTCTGTTCGCCCCAATTCCCTTGAAGAATCCACCTTCCTGCAGGATTGGGGGAGCACAGAATGGGAGGAAGATACAAATACCAATTTTATAGCAAGAATGCAAAAAGAGGCCAGCGCGGTGGCTCAGGCCTGTAATCCCAGCACTTTGGGAAGCTGAACTGGGTGGATCACTTGAGGTCAGGAGTTCAAGACCAGTGCGGCCAACATAGCAAGGCCCCCTCTCTACTACAAATACAAAAAATTAGCCAGGTGTGGTGGCAAGCGCCTGTAATCCTAGCTATTTGGGAGGCTGAGGCAGGAGAATTGCTTGAACCTGGGAGGCAGGGGTTGCAGTGAGCTGAGATTGTGCCACTGCACACCAGCCTGAGCAGCAGAATGAAACTCTGTCTCAAAATAAAATAAAATAATAAAATAAAATAAAAGACAAGTAGTTAAGAATCAGCTCCTTACACCCAAAATGGGAGGTTTGTGCCTACAGCCAGACAACAGGTCTGAAAGCCAGGCCTTGTCTGGAGAAGGCAGTTTTGGAATAACTGTGATTCTGTAACAGCCCATCCATCACATGAGGGAGGGTCCCCGCTGGGGAGAGGGGACCCCTGGAACACCTCAGGCAAATCTCCAAACAGCACAGAGCTGTCTGTGCAAGGCGGCATCCCTAGCCACCCCCTGAGCAATGCACATGTGTAAGATCACAGAAGTGACTGGTGAGGGTGCAGAGGGGCCCTGAGGGCCAGGCAGGGACAGCGGAAGGAGCCACCAGGATAGGCAGTCCCAGGAGGTGGTGCAGGCGGGGCATGGTGCCTCAGAGGCTGACATCCAGGCAGGCGTTTCCCGCAGAGACCACAGGGAAGCGAGGCCCTCTCATGGATCCAAGGACCACACATTCCTCCCCACACTGCCACGAAGTCACCGGCCATGCTCCCAACCCAGGCACCAGTGTCCATGTGAGAGAGGGGCAAGGCGGCGGCGGCCGGGAGAAGCCACGTTTTACCTGATGACTGTGCGTTACTGTGGGTCGGCATATCTACAGGGTCGGATGAGCTAAAATGTAAAATCCCCTCTCCTCTGTTTTCCACTGGATGGAGGCTCATGGAGAAGGTCTGGTTCATTAACATAAGATAAAACACATGAAGAAAGTCTGACTCGTGGCAAGGGACAGGGCAGAGAGCATCTGCAGCTCCGAAAGCCCTGTGTTATGGTGGCCTGCAGTAAAAGCAGCAGTGCACCTCTAGCATCTCTGGACGGACAGGGTCAATGCGGACAGGTTATCTTTTGATGTGTGACACATACCCACTGACTTAGCAGCTTAGAATAACACACATTTATGACCTCACAGTTCCTGTGGTCAGGAGTCACAACAGCCTCGCTGGGTCTTCTGCTCAGGTTCTCACAGGCTGCAGTTAAGGCGAGGGTCTTTCTAGAGTTCAGGGTCCTCTTCTGAGCCCACACGTTTGTTGGCAGAATTCAGTTCCCTCAGTAGGCTGAGGTCCCCTGTTCCTGCTGACGTCCACAGGCAGCTGCTCTCAGCTCTTCAAGGCCCCTCACACAGTGCGGCTGGCTTCTCAAGGCCAGCAAGAGATGCTGTCTGACTTCTAGACCCCCTTTCAAGGGGCTTGCCTGATTAGGGCAGGTCCACCCAGCACAGTCTCCCTTTTGCTCAACTCACAGTCAACTGAAGAAGGACCTAATTATGTCTTCAAAGTCCCTTTGCCTTTCCCATATAATATAACCTGATCTCAGGAGTGACACCATCATAGCCACAGCCCTACGCACACTCAAGAGAGAGACATGTCCACCAGGGACTTGGGGTCTTGGGGCCCACCCCAGAATCCATTGCCCACAGTGCCTGAGCCGAAGCTCACATAAGGGAGGCGCTCCCAGCCCAGAGGACTTAGCCGCTGGCTGGTAAACTGCTGGCGAGTGGCAGGGGACCCGCTGCCGGAGCCCGCCTCCTTCTTGGGCAGTGTGGCAGGGCCTGGAGCCATTGCTGATCTCAGGCAACCTGACACTCCTCATGAGGGCCCAAGGATGCAGTGAAAGGCCAGAACCCAGAAACTCTGGAGGGTGTGGGGGCTCCTGGCTTCCCCTCCTGAACAGTCATCTGGGAGAAACCTGCCAGATCCTCCCTCAGGAACCAGCCACCTCCTCCCGACACCAGTTTACTCACCTCCAAAGTGAGGGGCTGGGCCAGATGGCTCCAAACCTCCCTCCACTTCCAGCCTCTGCGGTCGGTCGATCCCTCTCTGCGCCGAGAGCCATCCAGCATGAGCAGGAAGCCTGCGGTGCAATTGTGAAAATCGGAAGGTGCATTCCCGAGGGGACATGGGACATCAGGCTCAGACACAAACTCCATGGAAGGCGGGTCAGGACTCACTGCCCAGGCAGTATCCATAATGCTGTGTAGATGTGGGGTCACACACAATCATCATTGCTTGTAGGAGCAATTAGGCAAAACAGAGAATAAGCAATTTACTTACAGGACCAGAATTGATATTATCTTAATACAGCTATACCAATTTTTACATTTCTCTCTAGGCGTTTTATCAACTTTTCTGTATTAGCATTGATCGGGAGAATATTCACAATGCCACTTACACAGGCCATGTATGCAGGCACTCATATGTTCTCCTTCCAAAACACACAGAATTACATAACTGTGGAGCTGGAAGGCCCCTGGAGAGGATCTGGCCTGAGCGCCCACCCACCCAGTGGCTGAAGAATCTGAACCCTCCTGCCAGGTGATGTCTCAGTTTCTGCTCACGTATTGACAGTGACAGGGGATTTTCTGTCTGAGACAGTTGATTCCATGTGGGTTCCTTTCTCTCCAAGTCAGTCCTTTGTAATTTTCCACCCTTTACAGCCCTGGGGTTGTGTGGAGAGCCAGGCCTGCTGCTGCAGAAATATTTCAGAGATTTTGAAGCTGCCCTCAGGGCCTGCAGCGGGCATTGCTAACTGCCTGCCGCAGATCTGTGCCCACCGTGTTCCTTTCGAGGAGACCCCACCGTGGTTCAGCTTGTTAACACATCTGTATCTTCTTTCTTGCAGAAGTGGCCAGGTGACTCCACTCTGGCCAGGGAACCATGGGCCGAGGCCCTCGGGGACTCTCTGGGGCAGTGGTGCCTCCTTTCTCCTCAGGGCTTCTTTACAGAGCTGTGCTTGAGAATGGAACGCAGCTGTGATAATTATCTGAGGTTCAGCTCTTCCAGAATGTCCTTATCTCCTAAGGCCTCCGAGATAAGCAGGAACCGCGGTGTCTGCCTTGCCTCCAAGCCTTTACCCTTGCTTATCTCAGTGGAAAATTCCAGCAGAGATCTCTGAATACCAGGTTAAATTCCTGCACTCAACAATCAGTTTGGCACGTGGCTGCCCGCCAGACTGGGCAGAGTAGAGGGGAGCCAAGGGAATAAACCCAAATCCCACCCCCAGGTGTCCAGAGCCTGGTGGGGATGGGACAGTTGCCTGCAGAGCAAGAGGCTGCCGCCCAGGTTCCTACAAGCCTGAGAGCCTGACCTACATACCCAGAGGAAGGGGAATAACCCAGAGGACCTCTCCCAGGACGAAATGCTGGCACAGGCATGAGAAGCCCACGTGGCGGCCAAGAGGAGGGAGGGTCTCCCGGGCCCCAGAAGCACAATGCCAGGGTCAGACGTACTGGGAGGCACGGGGCCGGGGACACTGTCAGTGGGCACAGGCTCTGGGCGGGCTGCAAGAGGGGTGAGGGTGGAGAGGCAGCCAAGCCGGGTTGTGGGAGGCCCTGCCTAATTCTGTAGACACTAAGATTAGAAACAACAAAAATGGGCAGGGTACGGTGGCTCACACCTGTAATCCCAGCACTCTGGGAGGCTGAGGCGGGCAGATCACCTGTCGTCAGGGGTTCAAGACCAGCCTGGCCAACATGGTGAAACTCGTCTCTACTAAAAATACAAAAATTAGCCAGCTGTGGTGGCATGCGCCTGCAATCCCAGCTACTAGGGAGGCTGAGGCAGAAGAATTAAAAATTTTTTTTAATTTAAAAATTAACTGGGTATGGTGTCACATGCCTATGGTCCCAGTAACTCAGGAGGCTGAGGCAGGAGGATCATTTGAGCCCAGGAGATTGAGGCTGCAGTGAGCCATGGTCACACCACTGCATTCCAGTCTCGACAGAGCAAGATCTTATCTCAACAACAAAAAAAAGACACTGCTTTTATTGAGCACCTAGTATGTGCCAGGCACTCTGCTAAGTCCTTGGCTTAGAGTAAATGATTCCATCCTCACAGTGAACCTTCGATGGAGCCCCACCCTGTGACCACACCCTGGAGGGCCCCATACTGGCCTTCCTCTGGCTGTGCCCCGGCTTCCCGGTGAGCAGTCCTCCAGGCCAAGGGACACCACTTCTAGATCACGCTACCAGATCTGGGGAGCTCAGAATTCCCCACCCAAGTAGTCCAAGTCTATTTTTGAGGCCTGCAGGGGCCTCTGCTCCAGGTCCGCTTCCCAAGAGCAAACCACAGCAGGCCCCATGGCAAAGGCCAGCTGTCAACAGGAAGCATGGCTGGAGGCTGGGTGTGCCGCCAGGCACACACGCACTGATCCTGGGCTCCTCCCAGCGTGAGACAGGCCGGGGAAGGAGGCTGGCTGGGGCTGGGACATCTCATCCTGGCCAAGGAGCCCCAGGGTTCCAAGTGCAACCCTGGCTTCCAGGCTGGCAGGAAAATGTATCTGCAAAGTCGGGGGTGGGGTGTGGTATTCCACAGGCTTCACTTGGCTTTGTTTATGACTATTTGCTCGCATCGTGCCTGGATCACCATTTGTACTCCTGTCCCAAGCCCTGCAAATGTGACAGCAGGGATTCATTATTTTTATCCTATTTTATGAGTGAGGAGTCTGAAGCCCAGGTCCACTCAAGGCCACAGGGAGGAGGACGAGGATAGGAACCCCGTGGTCCATAGGAGCGCCCGGGAGGAGCTGATCAGAACTGGATCAGCCTCCGCGGAGGTGCACAGCTCCACATGCTGCTCTCCCTCGGAAGGAATCCTCATCTCTTCCTGGAGAGGCCTGGGCACTCCCAGAAAGGGGGCAGACAAGCTCGGCCATTCCTGCCCTGGCCTGTGAAGCCCCCAGCCGCCCGCCCCCTAGGACCTGTGCTGCTCTAACATTCTCCCAACCAATGCTGTCCTTTCTGTTAGGGGTTCCCATGGGCACGCAGCTGCGCTCTAACTTCTCTTGCAATTACATGTAAAAGCATGACTCCTGGCCCCGAGGTGGGGACAATGTAGGAGGGGAGAGGGAGAGAACCCCCAGCACCATTTCGCCCTTCAGAGTGGCCTCCTTCACTTCCCCCAGAAGGCTCCTGGACAGGCACCCTGTTACCAAAGCCCCAGTCCCTGCTGGTACAGCCATGAGCACCACGCAGCCTGGCTGGCCACCCTCTGGAGCAGGACCCCGAGAGGATTCTGACAGCCTGTCCCGATGCCCCAGTCTCCCTGCGCCCCCTGCAGAACCTCTCAACACTGGAGTGAAAATTCTCAGGCCCGCACCTCTTCCTTCCTCTTGCTCCCTGCCCCGCTTGGAGATCCGCAGATGAAAAGCACAGAACTGCAGATGATGCTCAGACACAGGCCTCCATCCAGGCCACCCCCCGACACCAGAGGCCCAGATCCACTCCTTCCCACAAGAGGTGACTCAGATGCACACTCCACACTGGCGCTCCTGATGCCCCAAACCTGCTCCACCTGCAGCCCTGCCTCACTTCGTGGCAACTTGATCCCTCCAGGTGCTCAGGCCAAAATCCTAGGGTCACCTGTCCTCTCCGGTTCACACGTCCCACCTCTAACCCACGGGAAGTTCTTTCACCTCCACATTCACACATGACTAGCCACTGCTCACTGCTGCCATGTTGGTCCCTGCTCTCCTCCCTCACTGTTCCCACCTCTGTCCCCTCTCCCTCCTCCACTGT